CTTGCAATCCTCCTGCCTTAGCCTCCTGAGCCACTGGGATTACTGGGGTGCACCACTGGGTACATTTTGCTGATTGATTGGGAGTTGTACCTGAGAGCTGCCAATAAATAGCTGTATGACTTTGGGCTGCTCTCTCTGGGCTTTCGTTGTCCTTTCTGTGAAATAAAAGAATTAAGATCAATCATCCCTTAAGTCCCTCCCATTTTTTTTTCATTTGTTTTTTACAGTACTAGGAATTGAACCCAAGGCCTCACGCCTGCTAGGCACGCACTCTACCACTGAGTTATAGCCCCAGCCCTGAGCCTGTGTATATGTGTTTATGCACTGAACAATAGAGTCAGAATGAGCTCCCCCACCCAGTAGCCCCAGCCACAATACTGGATCTGTGGTATACACCTAGTCCTCCTGTTTTTTGCATTCTCTGTTATCTTCATCACTATCCTCACCATCGTTGATATATAAAATTAATAAATGGAGTCCATTGTGATGGTGCACTCTATAATCCCAGCAACTTTGAGGTTGAGGTTGAGGCAGGAGGATTGAGAGTTCAAAGTCAGCCTCAGCAATTTTTGAGTCATTTAGCAACTCAGTGAGACTCTGTCTCTAAATAAAATATTTAAAAGGGCTGGCTTCGTGGTTAAGCACCCCTGGGTTCAAGCCCTACACCAAAAATAAATAAATAAATAAATAAAATGCCTAGTGGTGCATATCTGTAAGATCAGTTACTTAGGAGCCTGAGGCAGGAGGTTCACAAATTCAAGGGTAGCCTCAGCAATTTAGTGAGGCCTTAAGCAACTCAGTGAGTCGGTTTCAAAATTAAAAAAAAAAAAAATAGGGCTGGGACGTAGTTCAGTGGTTAGGCACTCCTGGATTCCATTCCTGGTACCAAAAAAATTTTTTTTAAATATTTTATTTTTTAGTTGCAATTGGACACAATACCTTTATTTTATATATTTATTTTTATGTGGTGCTGAGTATCGAATCCAGGGTCTCGCACGTGCGAGGACAGCACTCTACCCAACCCCAGCCCTCCAAAAATTTTTAAATATTTATTTTTTAGTTTTTGGCGGACACAACATCTTTATTTGTTTTTTTTTTATTTATTTTTATTTTTTATTTTTTTGCAACACTGGGGACTGAACCCAGGACTTTGCACATGCCAGTCAAGTGATGACCACTGAGACATGTCCCCTCCCCTAAGTATGGCTAGTCTAGATAAGTCAAACATATATATATATATATATATATATATATATATATATATATATTTTTTTTTTAAGAGAGAGAGAGAGAGAGAGAGAGAATTTTTTTAATGTTTATTTTTCAGTTTTCGGCAGACACAACATCTTTGTTTGTATGTGGTGCTGAGGATCGAACCTGGGCCGCACGCATGCCAGGTGAGCGTGCTACCGCTTGAGCCACATCCCCAGCCCCTCCAAAAATTTTTAAACTTAAAAAATATAGTAGGCATATAGTTTAGTGATACAGCACTTACCTATCATACACAAGGTCCTAGGTTTAATCCTCACTATCAAAATCAATCAATCAATCAATGGAATGCCTATTATACACAAGTCATTGCAAATCACTTTAAATGTATTATTTTATTCATTCATTTCAACAGTGTTACTATTCTCATTTTACAGATAAGGGAAATACAGCTTAGAAAGGCCCTATATCACTCTGTTGAGGAGAGAATCCAGTCTGTCTGACTCCAGGAATTTAGTCTATTAAATGCGTGCACCAAAAAAAATTTAAAAAAGAAAAAAAAATGTGTGCACCACTGCCTAGAAATCATGGGCTGCTGGATCTTGCAGGGTCAAGTTGATCTCTGATGGAGATCCAGCGTGTAAGGTTGTCAGACCAAGTCCCTAAAACATAAGACCAGAGCTGGATGGTAAATAGCCTGATTACCTGAAATTACCCTGGCTTCAGGATGCAGCTAGGTTTCTCAGGAATGTTTCTCACTTGGCCTGACCACCTTACTTCTCACTCACACTTATCTGCTGGCTGTCCTATTTTGCTAGAATATGACTGAGTTGTTATGCTTTGTGATTTGTTTCAGTCTGCAGCAGGGGTGGACTGTATCAGCCCTGCTATGCTACCTTATCCACACCTCTTATGCTAGATAACTTGCCTTTTCCTATTGAATACCAACAATGCAGGGCAGCATAAAGCAAGCTAGGCTTTGTCACACACCCATATAAGATTTGGCAAGGTCAAGGCCTAACTGATTCAGCTGGTAAAGACAAAACAAGTCACTTTTAGATCCAGTTTGTTACTTACATATACAGCAAGATGAAGAATGCACAATGGTACCAGCTCCCTGAGGTTCTTGTCCTACACACCAAAAAATAAACAATGCTGAAACAAGAGGCCAGATGACTGTAATGTGAGTTGTGGGATACCCCATAAGTGAACAATCAATTCTAGATTGCTGCTAAGTGGTTTTTATATTCTGCAGCACTATTGAGGAGAGGAGAACAGAAAGTCACAGATTTCTCAGAAACTGCAAGGAGAAGAGAAGTGTTTTGTGACAGCCTCCATGCTAGTGGGCCATGTAAAGATGTCACCTACAGCTTTCTCAGAGTTTGAGAAATTGTTTATTTTTGTGCTACAGATTGAACTCAGGGTGTCACATATACTAAGTGCACTACCACTGAACTACACTACCAGGTCATTTGAGGGTTTTTAAACCGACCATAGAACAAATGAGACTGAAAACTAAGAAATCTAAATTCAAATCTAGATGAGTTCACAATTAGCCATATGACTTAAGCAAGTCTTTTACCTCTTTGGGGCTCTTTTTTGAATCCACGAAGTCACATATTGTTTGCTTTTCAGGGGAGGGAGATCATATCTCTTTTTAGTAGCATGTAAACTGCACAGAAACAGGGATTTTGTCCGTTTTGTTCACTACTTGTAGCCTCATCACTTAGAACAGTGAAAGTACATGATAGAGATTTAATAAACATATATTGGATGAACAAATTTCATTGTATTTTGTTAGTATGTGTGTGTGCATTTAAAGCCTTAAAATCTGCTCTGTGGTCACAGTGAAAATTTATAAGGGATACCTAGAGAAAATAACTGCCCTTTCTTTTAGGGAGCTTAAAGAAAGCTGAATGAAGGCTTGATTAACCTCAGAGTGAATACTTATATACTATAGAGTGGAACAGGTGCTCAAATGGATCTTTTATTAGTGCTATTACAATAAATCCTCATGGCATACCACTATAACACAAAGTTCTTTGTAGTTATAGAAAATAGGAAAGGCCCAGTTTTCCCACTGTTTCATTCTGTATCTACTATTTTCCTAGTCATCTCTTTAGGCTTCCTTTTTCTCGTTCTCTTAGCCAATGTATAGTGTAGACAAAGAAATTGTGGATTAAGGAGTGTTGCTTTTTTTTGGTACTGGAGATTGAACCCAGGGGCCCTTAACCACTGAGCAACATCCCCAGCCCTTTTTCATATTTTATTTTGAGACAGGTTCTCCCTGAGTTGCTTATGGCCTTGCTAACTTACTGAGGCTGGCTTTGAACACCCAATCTTCCTTGCTTTAGCCTCCCAAGCCTCTGGGATTACAGGCGTGTGCCACCGTGCCCTGCTTCGTTTTTATGTGTTAGTGTGATAATTTTCTTTAATTGCAATTAAGATATGTGCGTTATATCCCTTTTACAGATAAAGGAACCATGGCCCAGAGATTGACCTACTGGAGTTCACTAATATTAGGACCAAATTTTCTGAATTCAAGTTCAGGCTGCCACAACTATGTGGCACTCATGTCTCCATCGCCTTAGTCTCTTCTCCATGTCATCTCCATGAAGGGGCAGAAATTTTTGCTGGGTTTGCTTCCTCATCCAATCCCAGCCTCTACAACTTTGCCTGATACAAGGACAGGGATTTTTGTCTACCCAATATGTTTGAGTGAAAAGAACGAATGGTTAAGAGGTTCGTCATAAAAGCAAGTCGCTGCCCCTTTTGGATTTCATTTCTGCTCTCCCTGACTTCCCGCGCCTCCATTGCTCCTCCGGCCCCTAGACGGCACTGTGGTGAGAATCCCACCATCTTGGGAGCAGTGTCCTTCTTCGTCAGGCCGCGCCTCCCCAAGTCGGAGGTCGGGTCTCGAGGAACCGGAAGTGCTGGGGCTGCTGCCGCCGCCTTTTAGTACCGTGTCCGCCGCCCCTAAGTATCGCGTCCTCCGCTTTTAAGTGCCGCGTCCGCCGTCGGGGTTGCAACCGGCGCCGCCGCCGAGGAAGCTGCTGTAGCCCAGCCCGGAGTGGAGGCGGCGCGGCATGAAGCGGCGCAGGCCCGCTCCGTAGCGCGCGCGCGTCAGGACGGTCCGGGCGGGGCCGGGGGGGAAGGTGCAGTATCCGCCCCCTTCTCCTTCTCCTTCGCCCGCGAGGCCTGGGCCTCTGCCCACGGGCCCTGTCCGCCTCGCCGAGGAGCTGCCCGCGCGGGGTTGAGCCGGTGGCGGGGCCCCATTTGCCGGAAGAGGAAGCCGAGACTCAGATTCCGAGTCAGCCAACGTTCACCAGGCGCCCCTGAGCGCTGAGTGCTGCCCTCCGGACTTCCACGTCCGTTATCTTAATTGAGCCTCTCTGGGGTTGGGAGGCCGGGTACTGTCTGTGCTCACAGATAAGGAAACGGAAGCTCACAGAGGCGAAGGGATTTGCCTAAAGTCCGACTGTGGCAGATGGGCTTGGGACTCAGATTTTCTGGTTTCCCAGCTGGTGTTCTTTTTTCCCTACTGCTTCACTCTAGGTCGGTTTTTGTTCCAACCACCCGCTTCAGGATACTGTCCTGTCCAACTTCCTCACACTTTTTCTTAACACTTTTTATCCTTCCAGCCCCTCTTCTCAGCATCTGTACTTCTCCTCATTTTCCTATTCGTTGCTTTGAAGATTTTGGCCCCTTCTGTAATTATGATTTTTTCGAGTAGCCGTGGACCCTGAAGAGTGAAATATCTAGGCTTCGGTGAGCCGCGGCATGTTGAAATGGGCGACTGTTTGTGGAATGCAATTTGAATGGGTCCAAACTCTAGAGCCCTTTAGTTGTTCTCTAACACCCTTATTTGAATGGGGGTGGGGGTTTAGTGCTATGGGGAGGTGTCTTGACATCCTGTTGTTGCTGTGCTAGCATAACTTTTTCTCCACTTGCCACTTTTCTCACCACCTCTCTCATCTTCACCTACTTGAGCTATGGGAGCCCAGAATTAAAACTGTTAACAAAGTATCATTTGTAATCATAGATTTTTTTTTTCAACAAGCATAATGATTCTTTTTCCAGAAAAGTTGCCCATTTCAATTATTCTCAATCTTGTGGTAAGGAAAAGAAAAATGGACTGCACTTTAAATGAGTAGGACATTCTTTATCTTATGGAAAATCTTAAATTAGTAAATTCAAGTTAGTTCCCTTTCTGCAAAAAAAAAAAAAAGTGGCCTATAGTTCTTCCTATTCATCCTACTGAATTGATTTTTGTCTCTAACCATGACATTGTTAGATAAAAGAGGCACAGGAATAGGCAAATAGAAATTTTATATCTGTCATTTTTGAGGCTTTGTAATAGAAACCTCATCTGATTATTATTATTATTATTATTATTATTATTATTATTATTTTTGGACTAGGCTGGGGATCCACCTCAGGGCAAAAACTCTACCACTGATCTATTCTGCCAGCCAGTAACTTCACATCTGCATGCCCTCTAACTTTTTTAGCTCTTCCATAATTCCCTTTAATGTATGTCTGAACATCAAGGTTTATACTACTGTTAGGATATTCTTTTGAGTAAATTGGGCTATACCATATCGGAAAATAATTTAGGATTTTGATAATTGCAGACAAAGTAATTTGGGCATATATTACATCAAAAAGTTCTCAGTTTTAAGTGCTATTTTGGAACTTTTTATACTTAATCTTTTTTTGACTACATATGGTCTGTTTTAATAATGACCAAGAGTCTTATATTATCCTGGTGAGCAGGATTGGATGGTGAGAAAAGGAAAGAGTCCTCTGAGAAGAGAGCAGGATAAGTGCGGGGATCTGTGCTTGAAGTTGGGGCGCTTGAAAATGATCTCTGAATGTGGAAGAGATCTGAGCAGATGAAAATACAATCAGATAGGCACCAGGGAAGGTCCATAAGTAAAGAGGTAGGTGGGGAAATGAAAAGTATGCACTTTGTAGAGACTATGCTGACTTTATTTTAGAAACTTCAGGCCACACATTTTGAGAATGTAATTCTATACAAGGTATTAGGGAGTTCTGGAAGTTAAATCAATTATAAACATTTGTGTAAATGGCTACCATAATGCCAGGTCTGTCCTAGAAAGGGTGGAATAAACATTGGCTGTAAATATACAGAGTGGCAGAATGTCATTTGAATTCTACAGTGTGCACATGTGTGTATGTATGTATGTATATAGAGAGAAACAGTCTAGGGAGCTAGTACAATTCAGAAATATACCTGATGATTTTAACTTATATATAAGCTGATGCATCTTTTACATAATGACCCAAGAAACTGAGCAATAAGGCTTGAGAAGTTTTACTATTAAGATTCTCTGTTCTATTCCTAGCCCTATACTTGCAAGCAGTGTTTTGAAGACCAAATTCTAAATTTAACACATGTGAAATGAGCAAAATTTGTGTAGATTCTCTCACTTGTTCCTCATTCCATTAGATATAAAACTAGATTCATTGACACATTTGGTAGAAATAGGCCTCCACTAGCTTTTAGATGGTCAAACAACCATCATTGTTATAATCTACCTCACAAATATCGGTGTGTTACATACCATTTGAGCTAACTGACTTAATTCTCAGCTGGGCTGTTTTTGTATTTTAATTGTTGGATATGAATGCCTAGTTGTAATAATATTATAAATATACCTGATGTAACAAATGAGTTTTCTGTCTACTTTTGCTATTGTTACTTTGAAAATGGTAATACAGTTCAGGGTAAAAAGAAAATAACAATATCTTGGGCACACAGTTCAATTCATTTTCAAGCCAGTATTCCATACCTAATGGACTTATTCACAGCCCATACCTGCTAATAACTTTTTCTCAAAAGTTACTTATCAGAAATTGAGCTTTAAAAAAAAAATGCATCATCTTACAAACACAGCCATTTAGAAGTATTTAATAGTTATGTGAAATTTGGTTTCATAAGTACAATTTTGTTATGTCCAAGCCCACATGTTTTTGACATTTGAAAAATAAGTGTTAGTGTATGAAATATTAATGCTTTGGGGGTCAAACTAGTAAATTTGTGTCCAAATTTTTATCAAAATATTGATATAAACATTAAATGCTTTCTACAACTACTTTAAAGCCACTTAAGAATAGTATCTTTCTCATTTAAACAAAGCATAAGTTAGATAATGTATAATCATAGTCATGTAAGTTTCTTTGAGATATTAGTCATCTCAAGTATATATGATAGTGATGTCTAGGGCTGCACAAAAGATTCATACCAGCCAGTTAAGTATTTTGTTGTTTAGAATTCCATTTAAAAGGAAACAATATTTACACTTTCTTCCTGTAAGTGCCCTAGGAAGATTATTACAAGGACATTGTTTGTGACAGTGTTATTACTGTTCCAGTTGGGATTATTCTGCTAGTTGGAGAAATTCACATTTGTCAAATGTGTTACCTTTTTAAATGCAAAAAAACCCAACTCCCTTGGCATATTTAGCTTCACTATTGACATGTTCTTGGGTGGAGCATAGCAGCCAACTGGCATATGGCCTGTTTGCTTCAAGTGTGGGAAAGAAAAAGGAATTTGGCAAGAGATATCTAAGGAGAGCCTTTTATAAAAGTTCCCATAGGGATTTATAGTCACTGTGAAATTGACATGACCTCAATTTTTAAAATAATCTCATTTTGAACCAAGCACAGAGAAGTGGGAGCTATTGCTTACTAGGTTTCATTGCAGCTATGCTAAAAGGCATTTTTTCTTAGTGGTTTTATTTGGTTTTGCCCCTGTCAGACTGTCATTCTGATAATGTAAGACAGCCCTGTAAATAGCTTCATGTGCCTTATTTTCTAGAAAAATGCAACATGGCAGCAGCAATGGAAACAGAACAGCTGGGTGTTGAGATATTTGAGACTGCAGAGTGTGAGGAGAATATTGAATCACAGGATCAGCCTAAACTGGAGCCGTTTTATGTTGAGCGATATTCCTGGAGTCAGCTTAAAAAGCTGCTTGCTGATACCAGAAAATATCATGGCTACATGATGGCTAAGGCACCACATGATTTTATGTTTGTGAAGAGGAATGATCCAGATGGGCCTCATTCAGATAGGATCTATTATCTTGGTAAGTATAGAGTTGTAGTTTCTGAGTATATTATAAAAGTGTAAAATGTACTTTTATTTGAAACACCAAAGTCTGTATTAATGATTACAATCATAGAATTTTTTATAATGAAGAAAAGCTAGAATTGGTAGATCTGTGTTTATTTCCAAATAGATAATTCAGAAAAAAGAAATTTAGTAATCAGGAGTTGTCACAGTGGAATCCCGTGAGTCTATTGCCAACTTTTAACAAACTAATTTTTTTTAAATTTAAAAATGGTATTGTGTTAACTCTCCTAATATCATTTTATATGCTTTGATGATATTTTGTTAGAGGGGAATTAAGACCTGAATATCAAAATGAAACTTAAGCATTTTTCTGTGAAACTTCATTTTTATTGAAGAAAATTTCTAAGGCATATGGCACTTGCATATCCTACATATTAATATTTATTTTAGGTCCCACAGACTGTAAAGTATTGCAGTGTATAGAAGGCTTCATATGCTGTACTGTGATTGTAGTGAGAATGCTATTTGAAAACATAATAATAAATGATTTTTTTTTTCCTTAGCCATGTCTGGTGAAAACAGAGAAAATACACTATTTTATTCTGAAATTCCTAAAACTATCAACAGAGCAGCAGTCTTAATGTTGTCTTGGAAGCCTCTTTTGGATCTTTTTCAGGTAGAAACTAAATATTGTTATTCCTATGATTTGATGTATATTTCAGATCCACATTTATTTAGAGGCAGAAATTCAATTGGGTTTATATTTGAAGTAGATATGAGTCAAAAATAATTAAAACATTTCAGCATTTTTACATGTGTGACCTTAAGTTCCATTCAATTTTTAACATCTAAGAAAAATTACAATTCAGTTTTTAACTACCTTTCCCTTCCATAAACTTTCTAGTAATTCTCACATCTAGAGGAAGGAAATTGACATTAAAGAACAAATATAAGCGGGCATGGTGGTATACACTTTCAATCCCAGATAGTTAGTAGGCTGAGGCAGGAGAATTGCAGGTTAGGAGTCAGCCTGGGCAATTTAGTGAGACTTTGTCCAAAAAAGGTAAATGGGGAAGATGTAGCTCTGATTTAGTGGTAGAGCACTTGCCTAGTAGGTATGAGGCCCTGGGTTCAATCTCCAGTACAAAACAAAGCAAAACAAAAAAATCTAACATATATTTCTAGAAAGATTTTTTAAAAATATTTTTTGTTGTAGATGGACACACATCTTTATTTTATTTATTTTTATGTGCCACTGAGGATTGAACCCAGTGCCTCACACATGCTAGGCAAGTACTCCACCACTGAGCTACAGCCCCACCCTCTAGGAAGATTTTTATTTAAATCTTTAAATTTGTAGTTCTAGTGCTTAGTAACAGCAGTAACTTAAAGATACTAAGTTCAATTTTTGCTTCTTTCAGTTTTTGCTTCTAAGTAATTTATGTAAAATCAAAGCTTTAGGGTTTTTGTTTTTGTTTATTTTTTTTCCTCAGTAGTTTACCTTTAGACAAAAGTGAATAATTGAAAATATGCCAGTGACAAAATAATGATTTAGGTGCCAATGTTTCCCTTTTTTGTTTTCATTTACTATTTTCATGTTGAATATTTCCTTACTGAATAGCATGTTTGGGCTAAAATGAACTAAGATGTGATATTTTTCAAAATAATTTTTAAAAAACAACTTCTATGATAGCTCATTATTTTGATTGGCAGCTATTTATCTCAAGTATTCTTTTGTATAGGCTTGTGACTTTTCTTTAAAACAAAAAATTCCTTGGGACTAAGATTATAGCTCAGTGGTAGAGCACTTGGTATTTGTTCTATGTGTATTTGAAAAGAATGTTTTGTTGTTTTGGGTAGAGTGCTGTATTAATGCCCAGTAGACCAACTTGATTGTGTTGTTCATGTCTTCTGTGTTCTCACTGATTTTCTTATCTGTTCTATCAGTTATTGAGAGAGGAATATTAAAATCTCACACTATAGGGCTGGGGTTGTGGCTCAGTGGTAGAGCACTTTCCTAACAGGTGTGATGCATTGAGTTCAATCCTCAGCATTGCATATAAATAAATAAATAAATAAATAAATAAAATAAAGATCCATCAACACCTAATAAAATATATTTTAAAAAAATCTCCAACCATAATTATAGATTTGACTATTTTTTTTTTTTTTTTTTTGGTGGTGCTGGGTATTGAACCCAGGGCCTTGTGCATGCAAGGCAAGCACTCTACCAACTGAGCTATATCCCCAGCCCCTTGACTATTTTTTTTAAATATTTATTTTTTAGTTTTAGGTAGATAAAATATCTTTATTACTTTTTTTTTAAAAGAGAGAGGGAGAGAGAGAATTTTAATATTTATTTTTTAGTTTTTGGCGGACACAACATCTTTGTTTTGTATGTGGTGCTGAGGATCAAACCCGGGCCGCATGCATGCCAGGCGAGCGCGCTACTGCTTGAGCCACATCCCCAGCCTTCTTTATTACATTTTTATGTGGGGCTAAGGATTGAACCCAGTGCCTCACACATTCTACCACTGAGCCACAACCCCAGCCCCAACTATTTATTTCTTTAGTTCTATCATATTAGTTTTTGCTTTATGTATATTGAAGCTATGTTACTAGGAGCATAAGTAGATAGGATTATTATGCCCTGATTTATTGAACTCCTTTTTGTTATGAAATGACCTTTGTGTCTGGTAATATTTTTTGCTCTGAAATTTTCTTTAATATTAAGATAGCCACCACAGTTTTCTTTTGATTTGTTCAAATATGAAATGCTTTTTCATTTTTTATTTTTAACAGCTTTATAGAAATGTAATTCATATACCATGCAATTCACCCATTTAAAGTGTACAATTCAGTGTTGTTTAATATATTGACAGAGTTGTGCAGCTATTTTCACAGCCTAATTTTAGAACACTTTCCTCATCCAAAAGAAATCAGTTTTAGTTAGCTTTTTATCACTGTGGCCAAAATACCCAACAAGAAGAACTTAAAGGAGGAAAAGTTTATTTGGGGCTTATAATTTCAGAGCTCTTGGTCCATAGACAGCTGACTGCATTAGTTGGGCACAAGGTAAGGCAGTACATCATGGAGGAAAGGCCCAGTGGAGGAAAACTTCTCAGCCTATGGCAGGGTCAGGAACTAGAGAGGGAGAAGAAACTGCAGGGAAGGTGCATTCTTTTAGGGCATGCCTCAAGTGACCCACCTCCTCCAGCCACACCCCCACTCCTTATAGTTACCAACTCCAGCACATTCAAACCAAGATGGACTGATTATAGGTCACAGCTGTCATAATTCAGTTCACCTCCAAAACGTTCCTACATTATTACAGGAGCTTTTGGGGGGAGGCATCTCATATTTAAACAATAATATTCTGCCCTCATCCCCAAAAGCTCATGTCCATTTCACAGAGCAAAATGCATTTAGTTCATCTTGATTCTCATAGTCTTAGCAGTGTCCAAAAGTCCAAGTCCAAAGTCTCCTCTGAGACTCAAGACAAAGTCTCCTCTGAGACTCAAGACAAACTCTTGCTGTAAGCCCCTATAAAAATTGAAAGCAAGTTACACACAACTAATATACAGTGTCACAGTGTAAAGGTGAGGTCACAATATTTGAGTAAATATTCCCATTCCAAAAGGAAGGAATAGGGACAAAAAAGATGGGATGGGGGCTGGGCGTGCTGGTGCCCACCTATAATCCCAGTGGCTTGGGAGGGTGAGGCAGGAGAATCTTGAGTTCAAAGCCAGCCTCAGCAACTTAGTGAGGCCCTAAGCAACTTAGTGATTAAGTGCCCGTGGATTCAATTCCGGGTACCAAAAACAAAAAAAAAAAAAAAAAAAGACCAGAAACCTAGCCAAGCAAACAGGTCCATATATAGAATGTAGGATACATGGCTTCCAGATGTGAAAATATCCCTATTTCCAAAGGCCCTGGGCAGCTCTACCCCTTTGGACTTAACCAGTTGTAGTGCACAAGGGCTTCTTTTTAGCCTGGTTGGCCTCCCCAACCATCACCCTCTCACGCATCACCCTGTCAGCAGCAGCCTGTAGGGATTTTGGCCTCACATTTACAACTTCACATTACCCTCTTAAGAACAGCCCACAAGGACTCCAACACTGCTATACTTTGCCTGGGATGTGAGGCCTTCCTTTCAAATCTTGGTAGAAACCTCCATGACTGCTTAGAGCATCCTGCATTCCTGCAGAACCAGCACCACATTGATGATGCCAAGGTCTGCCACCAGATCACACAGTATCTGGGACCCCTGGTATCATGGCTGCAGGTACCTCTGAGTACCTGCATGGTTCAGCATGGTGAAACAACTTCCTAGGCCCTCCTGTGCAAGCAGTAGGGCAAAAGGATGATCTCTTATCAAAGGAATTTGTACTTTTACACCCAGGAGCCTAAGGTGGGTGTGGTCTTGCTAGTTCCTAAAATGCTCTTGAGGCATCTTTTCTGTTGTCTCTGTGCAAAGTACTTAGTGTGTCTTTAAGGTCTGTAATCTCTTCAACAAGCATACATTCCTTGGCCTCAGCTTTACAAACACTTTTTTTGGCCAGACTTCAAGTTTTTAAAATTCTTAAATTCTGTTTTCTATTGACATCTGGCTAAAAGCTGCCAATAATATTCATGCCACTGACAAGATGCTATGGTGCCTTGAAATTTCCTCTGCCAGATTAATTAGTCCATCACTTTTAAATTCAGCCCCATGTAAAGTCTCATGATATGGGCAAAATGTAGCCAAGTTCTTTGCCAGAATATAACACTAGTAGCCTCTAGTTCAATTCACAATAGAGTCCTCATTCCCTCTGAAACCTCATGAACACAGTGTGCATTTCTGTTGCCAGTCTGGTCTTCCGAGCCCCCACCAAAATCACTAATTAAACTCTTACATACAGCATTCTAAAACTTTTCTAGCCTGCATCTTCAAACTTTTCAAAATTCCTTTCACAAACCATTTCCAAAGGTTTCTAAACCACATAGTCAAGTTAGTTACAGCAACAAACCCATTACCAGTACTAACTTATCCTTTTTAAAAAAAAATATATGTATGTAAATATATATATATAATTTATAGTTGGACACAATACCTTTATTTTATTTATTTACATTAATGTGGTGCTGGGGATCGAACCCAGAGCCTCACACATGCTAGGCGAATGTTCTACCACTGAGCCACAACCCCAGGCCCCTAATTTCTGTTTTAGCTTTTTTGTTGCTATGACCAAAATACCCAACAAGAGGAGGAAAAGTTTATTTGGGGCTCACAATTTCAGAGGTTTTAGTGCAGAGACAGCCCACTCTATTGCTTTGTGCATGAGGTGAGATAGCACCTGGAGGAGGGATTCAATGGAGGAAAACTGCTCAGCTCATGGCAGGGTCAGGAAACAGAGAGTGAGGAAGGGGCCTTAGGGAAAATGCATCCTTCCAGGGCACATCCCCAGTGACTACCTCCTCCAGCCATGCCCCACCTGCCTACAGTTACCATCCAATCCATTCAAACTAGGTTGGACTGATTAGGTTACAGCTCTCAGAATCCAATCATTTCACCTCTCGACATACCTGCATTAATATAAGAGCTTTTGGGGATACTTCATATCCAAACCAAAATAAAATCCATCAGCAGTCACAATCTTCCACCTCATCTTCTCTATTGCCAGGCCCTATTCTCCTTGGAATCTGTTGATTTGCCTATTCTGAACATTTCATATAAATGGGATCATATGATATATAGTCCTTTGTGATTGGTTTCTTTAACATAATATTATCTAGATCTATCCATGTGGAAGCAGGTAACTATTACTTTTATTATGTGGTGAAATAATATTCCATTATATGACTGTACCATATTTTGTTGATCCATCAGTTTATATGACATATGGATTGTTTCAGATTTGGAGCTTTTATACATAAATCTGCTTTTAACATTAGCATATAAGTTTTTTTTTTTTTTTTTGGTTATAGATGGACACAATATCTTTCTTTCTTTCTTTATTTTTATGTGGTGCTAAAGATTGAACCCAGTGCCTCATACGTGCAAGGCAGGCACTCTACCACTGAGCCCCAGCCCCAGCCCAGTATACAAGTTTTTGTGTAGATTTATATTTTTAGTTCTCTGAGATATATATCTAGAAATGAAATTCTGGGTCATGTGATAACTATGCTTAAACATTTTTTTTTTTTCTGTGCTGGGGATTGAACCCAGGGTCTTATGCATGTGAGGCACTCTACCAACTGAGCTATATCCCTAGCCCTATGCTTAAACTTTTAAGTAACTACCAGACTATTTTTCATGTAGCTGCTCCATTTTACATTCCCTACCAGTATTGTATGAGGGTTCCAATTTCTCTGCATCCTCATTAATCCTTGTTATGGTCCATCATTTTTTTTATAGCCATGCCAGTGGGTGGGAAGTGATAATTCATTGTTGTTTTGATTTGCATATCTCCAATGACCAATTATGCTTAACATCTTTTCATGTGTTTATTGGCCATTTATATATCTTCTTTGAAGTGAGAATAAATTTGGGATGAGAATAAAATTCTGGATTTTTTTTTTCAGCTATCAAGTTTGGCAACTTGTTACGGAAGCCCTAGAAAACTAATGTATGCCCATTGGTGCACAAATTTTAAATTTTGATGGAATCCAATATACCTTTTTTTTAATATAAGAATTCTATGGTTTTAGCTCTTACATTTAGATCTTTGATTCATTGAGTTATTTTTTGTATACAGTGTTAGAGGTCCAGATTGATACTTTTACATGTGGATATCTAGTTGTCCCAGCACCATTTGTTAAAAAACTATCCCCATTTGAATAGTCCTAGCACTCTTGTTGAAAATCAGTTGATTATAAATGCATAGATTTATTTCTGGACTCCAGTTCTATTCCACTGTCCTATATGTCTGTTTTTATTCCAATACCATATTGTCTTGATTAACATGGTTTTGTACTGGCAGGGTGCTGGGGACTGAACCTAGGACTTTGAACATGCTAACATACACTCTGCCACTAAGTTACACCTTCTAGCCTCTGAACTAAACTTTGAAGATTAGAAAAGTAGAAATTTTGGAATTGGAAAATCTGGGTTCTCCAACATTCTTCTTTTCAAGATTGTTTTGGCTATTCTGTGTCCCTTGCAATTCCACATGAATATTAAGATGATCAATTTGTCCACATCTATATTTTGTAGAATCATATTGTTTTCTTTTTGCAGTACTAGAGATTGAACCCAGGGACACTACCACTGAGCTACATCCCTAGCAGTTTTTATTTTTTGAGACAGGGTCTTACTAAGTTACCCAGGCTGTCCTCCAACTTTTTTTTTTTTAATTTATTTTTTAGTTGTAGTTGTACATAATTCCTTTATTTTATTTTATTTATTTTTATGTGGTGCTGAGGATCGAACCCAGTGCCTTGCACACGGGAGGCGAGCGCTCTACCGCTGAGCCATAACCCCAGTCCTGTCCTCCAACTTTTAGTTCTCTTCCATTAGCCTCTTGAGTTGCCAAGATTACAGGTGTATAACATCATGCCCAATAGAGTTATAGTATTTTCTATATATAAGATCATATCATCCACACATGGAGATAGTTGCCTTCTTCCTTTACAACACAGATGCTTTTTATTTCTTTTTCTTACCTAAAATTGCCCTGGCTAGAAGTACAATGTTGAATAGAAATGAGAATATACATTCTTTTTCCTTATCTTAAAAGGGAATGCTTTCAGTTTTTCACCATTATGAATGATATTAGCTGGGGGGTTTTCACTAATGCCCTTTTTTCAGATTGAAAAATTTCCCCTCTACTTCTGTTTGTTTGTTTGTTCAGTACTGGGGATTAAACCCGTAAGCTCTTTACTAATGAGCTATATCCCCAGCTCGTTTTTATTTTTATTTATTTATTTTATTTTGAGACAGGTATCGCCAAGTTGCCTGTGCTGGTCTCGAACTTGTGATCTTCCTGCCTCAGCCTCCCAAGTGAGTAGCTGGTATTACAGGTGTGCGCCACTGTGCCTGACTTATTCCTGTTTTATTGAGTATTGTTATCATGAAGAAATATTGACTTTTTTGTGATTTTTCTATATTCATTGAAATGATCATGTGATTTTTTTTCTTTATCATATTCATATGGTGTGGTTTTCATAAGTTGAACCAAGATTGCATTCCCTAGATAAATCTCATTTGGTCAGCTGGGCGTGATGATGCATGTCTATAGTCCCAAATGCTCTCTCAGGAGGCTGAGATAAGAAGACAGCTTCAGCCCAGAAGTTCGAGATCAGCCTAGACAACATAGACTTCATCTCAAAACAAATAAAACAAAACCAAAAAACCCCACTTGATCATGGTTTATAATCCTTATGTTGCTATATTCAGTTTACGAGTATTTTGCTGAGTATTTTTGCATCTATTCAAAAGGGATATTGGTCTATAGGTTTATTTTATTTATTTAATATTTATATTTTAGTTGTAGTTGTACACAATACATTTATTTATTTATTTATTTATGCCTTCATTTTGCTCATTTATTTATTTATTTATTTATTTATGTGGTGCTGAAGATCAAACCCAGGGTCTCATGAGTGCTCTACCGCTGAGCCACAACCCCAGCCCCATATTTATTTTTTTTTTAGTTGTAGTTGAACACAATATCTTTATTTTATTTATTTTTATGTGATGCTGAGGATTGAACCCAGGGCCTCGCATGTGCTAGGTGAGCACTTTACCACTGATCCACAACCCTAACCCCTAGGTTTATTTTTTTTAATGATGTCCTTGGTTTTGGTTTGAGGATCATACTGATCTTTTGAATGAGTTAGGAAATGTTCCTCCTCTTCTCTGTTATTTGGAAAAATTTGAGAAGGATTGGTTTGAATTCTTTGAATATTTTTTAGAAGCTTTCTTTGTGAGAGATTCTTTTGGTTTTTTGTTTTTGTTGAGGGGGAGCAGGTTTGGTGCTGAGCATCTGAGCCCAAGACTTTGTGCCTACTAGGCTGTCTCCCAGCCCTTGCAGTTGGGGAAGTTCTTTGACTACTTAGTCTATTTGATTGTTATAAGTTTATTTAGATTTTCTGTTTCTTCTTGAGTTAGTTTTGGAGACAGGGACTTGCCGTGTTGCCCTAGCTTGTCTCCAACTCACAGGCTCAAGTATCCTCTTGCCTCAGCCTTCTGAGTAACTGGAACTACAGGTACATGCCACCATGCCAGGCTTTGAGTCAGCTTTAACAGTTAGTGTATTTCTAAGAATTTGTGTATTTCATCTAAGTTATCTAATTTGTTGGCATACAGTTGTTCATGTGTTTGGCATACAGTTCATATTCCTTTCTAATCTTCTTTACTATTCCTGTAAGGTTGTTAGTAATAATCCCTCTTTTATTTCCGAGTTTAGCTATTTGAGGTCACGCTTGTGTGTGGGCTTTGCGTCTCTCTTCAGTCCAGCTAAATTTGTCAATTTATCAATCTTTTTTTTTTCCTTAAATTTAATTAATTAATTTATTTTTATGTGGTGCTGAGGATCAAACCCAGGGCCTCGCTAGACAAGTGCTCTACCACTGAGCCCCAATTTGTCAGTTTTTCAGAGAATTAACTTTTTGTTTTGGTAAGGGTTCCTCTCCTCCCCCCTCAATTTTGACTACTTCCAGTCTAATTTGTATCATTTCCTTCCTTCCTTAGTTTGTTCTATTTTTTGGAAACGTCTTTAGGTGGAAGATTAGGTTTTGGATTGAGATCTCTTTTTTTATTGTACACTTTTATATTTTCCCTCTGAGTATTGCTTTCACTGCATCCCTTAAGTTTTGATGTTTTGTTTTTGATTGCTTTCAAGTCAAAGTATTTTTTTTTTTAAATTTCATTTGTAACTTCTTTGATTTCATTTGTAATTTCTTCCCTCTACTTGCACCACCATCGTCTAGAAACTCTCAAGGCAGTTAGCTGGGACAATTGTAAGCCTCACCTCATTTGGTTCCCATTTCTCAGAGATCACTGTCCTTTGTTGACTGAAGTTTAGTGTCTTGAAAACATTATTTCATACATTTTTGTCTATATTCTCAGTTTCAGATGAGAGGGTATATCTGTACCCTATTACTCCATCTTGGCTATAAGTGGAAGTCAGTTTCATTTTTACCACTTGAGTTGCTGGTCCATTTGGAATATGTAAGATGCAGTTCCAATTTTATCTTTTTGCATATGGCTATACAGTAATTTGAACAAATTTAGATCAGCATTCACTTATTGTAAAACCGCCACTTTTTTCTCTACCATCTTTTTCTTACTAATTTCTGTACTCAGTGTTCTGTGTTAGACTTTTCTATTCTATACATTATTCATTCTGTTTTTTATGTTTTAACTTTTTAGTATACAGTAAGGCCAATGTTGTTCCCCACATTGGTCTTTTTTAGGATTTTTTGGACCATCTTATTCTTTCAAATAACAGATTTTTGATCACAAAGTTAAAGTACACAGTTCTCTTTATGAAAGTTAATTTCTCTGCTCTAAAATTTCTTGTATTCTAATTATGAAGCATTAAAACATTCCAAGAATGGACCAAGTCAGGTGCAGTAGCACCTACCTGTAATCACATCTACTCAAGAGGCAGATGCAGGGAGATCACAAGTTCAAGGTCATCGTGGGTGACTTAGGGAGACACTATCTCAAAATAAAAAGTGCTGGTATATAGCTCAGTGGTAAAATACTTGCCTTGCATGCGCACAGTTCTGGATTCAATTCCTAATACTGCAAAAAGAGAGAGGGAGAGGGAGAAGGAGGGAGAAAAGAATTATGGACCAAGTTTGGTGATTTTTTTTTTTTTTAATATTTTTTTTAGTTGTCAATGGATCTTTTATTTATTTATATGTGGTGCTGGGAATTGAATCCAAGGCCTCACACATGCCAGGCAAGTATTCTACCACTGAGCCATGACTTCAGCTCAAGTTTGGTAATCTTAGTAGTCAATATGAGTGGAAAAGTTAAAATATAATCATATAGTCAAAATTTCTCTTGCCTTCATTGGAAACAGTCTTAAGAGGTGTTTAAAAAGCTGGGTGCTATGGCGCACACCTGTAATCCCAGCAGCTCAGGGGGCTGAGACAGGAGAATGATGAGTTCAAAGCTAGCCTCAGCAATGGTGAGGTGCTAAGTAACTCAGTGAGAACCCTATCTTTGATAAAATATAAAATTAAGCTGGGAATGTGGCTCAGTTGAGTTCAATACTTGATTCCAAAAAAAAAAAAAAGAGAGAGAGAGAGAGAGAGAGATTTAAACAAATAAAATGATCCAAATTAAAAGTGTTCAATCAGTGATTTTGCTACTTTTCCTGTTGCAGCCTAACACAAACAAGTTTCCCCCTAACGGTGGGGAATGTGTTTGAAAACCCCCAATGAATGCCCGAAAACACAGATGGTACTAAACCCTATATATACTATATTTTTCTTATTCATACATTCCTATGCTAAAGGTTTTTCTTTTAAACTATTTTATTTTAGTTGTAGTTGGACACATTGCCTTTTTGTTATTTGTTTATTTTTATGTAGTGCTGAGGATCAAACCCAGTGCCTAACATGTGCTAGGCAAATGCTTTACTATTGAGCCACGACCCCAGTGCCCCTATGATAAAGTTTAATTTATAAATTAAGCAAAGTTGGGGCTGGGGATGTGGCTTAGGTGGTAGCGTGCTTGCCTGGCATGTGTGCGGCCCGGGTTCGATCCTCAGCACCACATACAAACAAAGATGTTGTGTCCACCGAAAACTAAAAAATAAATATTAAAAAAAAATTCTCTCTCTCTCTCTCTCTCTCTCTCTAAAAAAATAAAATAAAATAAAATAAAAATAAATTAAGCAAAGTGAGCCAGGTGTGATGGCACATACTTGTAATCCCAGCAACTCAGGAGGCTGAGGCAAGAGAATCACAAGTTCAAGGTCGGCTTCTGCAACTTAGGAGACTTGTCTCAAAATAAAAAATAAAGTTCTGAGATGTAGCTCATTGGTAACATGTGTTGCTATGGGATTCAATCCCCAGGACCACAAAAAAAAAATTAACCAAAAAGAGTAAAATATTAATAACAATATATGTCTTAGCAACCTCAACATATGGTTTTCTTTGCTTAATTTTTTTTTTTTTTTTTTTTTTAGGATTGCTTTTGTGGGGCTGGGTTTGTAGCTCAGTTGTTAGAGCGTTTGCCTTCCATGTGTGGGGCACTGGGTTCAATCCTTAGCACCACATAAAAACAAATAAAGGTATTGTGTCTAATTAAAAAGAGTGTGTGTGTGTGTGTGTGTGTGTGTGTGAGATATGCATCTCTTCTCTTTCTTGCTCATTATCTTATGCTTTTTTTTGGTCACACTGGGCCAGGGCCTTGCACATGTTTGGCAAGCATTCTACCCCTGAGCTGCATCCCCAGTCCTTTCTTTCAGTATTTAGTCAAGAACTTTTATCTCTTCATTTAAAGGAAGCATTTTATTACTTCTCTTTGGCCTATCTGAATTGCCTGCATCACTATTTTTGCACTTTGGGACCATTGTTAAGTAAATCAGAGATTATCTGAATAAAGTTCTACAATTCTCTGATAGTTGATCACAGAATCAACTAGAGATAGCTGCTAAGTGAGTATTGGATGGGTAGCATATACAGCATGGATACACCAGACAAGGAAATGATTCATGTATGACACAGGAGAAACAGGATCCTGCAAAATTGCATCACAATACCCAGAATGACATGCAATTTAAAATCTATGAATTGTCGGCTGGGGTTGTAGCTCAGTGGTAGAGTACTTGCCTTGCATGTGGAAGGTACTGGCTTTGATCCTCAGCACCTCATAAAAATAAAGTAAAGGTATTATGTCCATCTACAACTAAAAACATATTTTTTAAAAAAAAATCTGTGAATTTTTTATTTCTAAAATTTTCCATTGAACATTTTCAGACCATGGATAATGAATTACAGAAAGCAAAACTACAAAGGGGGCACTATTATATATGTAACTGAACATTAATAATTTCATAGTTAATCCACAAAACTAGGTGGCATTTTAATGGGATTCTAAGGTTGTTTCTCTCTCTCTCACTCTCTCTCTTTTGTAGTTCTGGAGATCAAAAGCAGGGCTACACTATGCTGAGTAAATTCTTTACCATTGAGCTACACCCCCAGCCCCAAGCTGTCTCATTTTTAACCTCATCCAAAATTGTTTTAGGTTTGCAAGTATATACCTATATTTGCAATAATTGAATGATGTTTATTTTCAGTGTGCAAGCTTAATTTTGGAATGATATATATAAAATAACCTTATAGACTCCTTTCAAAAGTATTATTCCTTCATAGCAGAAATCATATCTGTTCCTTTAATATGTTTCTGTTGTTTAGCATACTGATAAAAGGTATAGAACCCTTATGTGATGTGAATATGATATTTTTTAAGGTAGCACTTATTAGGTTTGTTTTCTTCTTTGTTTTTTAAAATTTGTACAGATATCAATATTTCTATCTGATAAAACCCCTCATCATCATGCTGATAATTAATTACATACGTTCTTTAACAGAGATTGTAATAGATATGTTGTAGGTAGAAAAACAAAATGACAGATTTTGCTCTCAAGCTTGTTTTTTTGTTTGTTTTCTTCTAGTTAGGAACTATACTGAAAAACTGAAAGGTAGTAGCATATCGAAATAAGTAAAAAAGATAGTAATGCCTATAAAATTTTTGAAGAAAGCATAACATGCCAAGCGCAGTGGCCACGCGTGTAATTCCAGTATCTCAAGAGGCTGAAGCAGGAGGATTGCAATTCAAGACCAGTCTCAGCAATTTAGTGAGGCCCTAAGCAAATTAGTGAGTCCCTATCTCAAAATAAAAAATGAAAAGGACTATGGATGTGGTTCATTGGTTAAGTCTCTCTGGATTCAATCTCAAGTACCAAAAAAAAAAAAAAAAAAGAAAGAAAGAAAGAAAAAAGATAACTGCTGAACTCAGGTTGAATTGAGCTAAGGTTTTGGGTAAAAGTAAAAATTGGATAAGTAGAAAGCCCTTGAGAAAGGGAGTAAAATGAGGCAAAGGGCAGGAAATAGAAAAATCACATCTTGAGTTTTTTGTTTTAGGGGGGTTTCTTTTTTGGTGCTGAAAATTACACCCAGGGCCTTGCACATGCTAAGCCACAGTCAGTGGGTTTTAAGTTAGTGATGTGACCAGCTTCATTTAGGGTTTTGTTAGAAGAGTGCTAGTATATGTAATGGAAAGGTACTAATAACAGCTGACATTTGAGAACTTACTGTGTGCCAGTCATTGTGCTAAACACTTTATATATTTTTTTTTATTTAAATGAATCTTCAAAAGCTGATACCGATGATTTATTATTATATTGAAATTGAGGAAAATTACTTTTGACAAAATTAAGCTACTTGCCAAAGTCTGACTTCCAGTGAAGACTCAAAGCCTGTATTCAAACCACTTGACTTAAATGTCTGTCTTAACTCTATGTTAACTAAATTACAGTTATGTTGCAGAGAGTCATGAATTCCAAAATAATGGGGCTTCATTCTTTTTCTTTATACAGTAATCATCTAATGACCCTTTACTAGTAGGAAATCTTTCAGCAGACTTCCTGAAATTAATCTGCTTGAAATTTCAGCAAATTTTGGGTCACACAAAATGTGGGCTTAGTAATATTGGAGATGCCAGGATTTCAGTGTTAAAAGCAAAGGCAAGGGGCTGGGGATATAGCTCAGCTGGTAGAGTGCTTGCCTAAGCATGCACCAGGCCCTGGGTTCAATCACCACCACCACAAAAGAAAAAAAAGGCAAGTTTTCAAAAGACTGGAATAGGTGACTTTCCTTTTGTTAGGCAACACTGGACTATGGAATGTATTCTCGAGAAGAAGAACTATTAAGAGAAAGAAAACGCATTGGAACAGTTGGAATTGCTTCTTATGATTATCACCAAGGAAGTGGAACATTTCTGTTTCAAGCTGGTAGTGGAATTTATCATGTAAAAGATGGAGGGCCACAAGGATTTACCGTAAGTTGTAGTTACTGCTTGTTAAATCTGATTTTGGGTCCTAAAGGTAAATGCCCAAATCAGAAAGGTAATTAACAAATAAACCAAAAAATTTAGTTTATCCAGCAAGAAACTTAGTTGCAATGAAAACAAGAAATATAGTACTAATTCCCAAATTTAAGACTTAAGTTTTTAGTAACACTGATACAATTTTTAAAATGCTCAAACTTCTCACTATATAGGAAAATAGTAAAAGGCATCAATTCCCATTTTCTGTGAAAGCACTGAGGGAGATATTGAAAGATGTTTTCATTTTGATTTTATGTGGCTTTATTCTAAGCAATTCTTTATGAACTGTATGAGCTATTCTTTTGATAGAATTATGATGATCCTGGCTGGCTTTCATTAGATTTTTATGAGCAAAGTTTTTATTGCTAAAATTAATTTAAAGTGTTTAATAAAATGTTCAATAAATAAGCATTTAGTGATAATATTTAACAAAGAATAATTTCTCCAGTAAACAAGTTGGAGCAACAGAATTTATGATGTGCTGTTATATTGTCTATATAGTACCTTCCCTGTTACCCTTAGCTTTTTCATTCATAGTTAAAAAAAAAAAAAAATGAGTCCTTTATAAGTTAAAGAAGTTGAAAGATATTTTTTCCCTGGGGAACAACTCCCATAGTTGAAATTTTTCCTAAAAATATTTTTCATTTTATAGAAAGGGTACTACAGACAGATATATGTACATCAACCTGATACCTACCTTAAAATGTCATTTACCTGTCTAGCAACAACCTTTACGGCCCAATTTAGTGGAAACTAGTTGTCCCAACATACGGATGGATCCAAAATTATGCCCAGCTGATCCAGACTGGATTGCTTTTATACATAGCAATGATATTTGGATATCTAACATTGTAACTAGAGAAGAAAGGAGGCTCACCTATGTTCACAATGGTAAGGCATGATTCTTCAAATCTTTTCTGAAAAGTATTTTTAAAGTTTAAATTGCTTTTGTTTTCATTTTGAAATTGAAGCAAGTGGGGTGATCTTTATATGTTACATTCAAGCTTTTAAAAAATACAGAGGGTAAGTATTCTATAATACTTATATAATGCTAGTTTCTTTTAATTCATTTTCTCTGTCTCTCTCTTTTTTTTTTCCCTTGTCCTTTTGAACCGGCTTACTTTGCCACTGAGGTATACCCCCTGCCTTTTTTATGTTTTATTTTGAGACAGAGTCTTGCTAAGTTGCCTATGCTGATCTGGAACTTTCAATCTTCCTGCCTTAACCTCCCAAGTAGCTATATGACACTGTGCCCACCATTTTAATTCATTTTGGAGCAGCACTACAATAGCACCTCAGACATGATTTTCCTTTAGCATGATAAAACTGAAAAATTTCTCCAAACTGTTTTCATTAAATTAAAATTTTTCCAGGCACAATGGTAGCATGCCTGTAATCCTAGCACTTAGAAATCTGAGGCAAGAGGAACTCCTAGAACCCAGGAGTTAGAGACAAGTCTGGGCAACATAGTGAGATTTTATCTCAAATATTAGCCTTGTTTTGGGGAAAGAAACAAAATCCAGTTACACACTATCAGAAACAATCTAAAATTAATCTTTCTGTTTTGGAGAGTCTGCTTAGTTATTATTGTCGTAATAGCAAAATCAGAATTTTATAGAACTTGTATATTATGGAAGTGTTTTTAAGTTGTAGTGAAGTGACTGTAGCATCAGTCAGCAAGAAAAGATATGGATGTTTTCCTCTAAAGATTTCATACAGCTGGGTGCATTGGTGCATGCCTATAATCTCAGTGGCTCGGGAGACTAAGACAGGAGGATCGCAAGTTCAGAGCCCGTCTCAGCAATGGCAAGGTGCTAAGCAACTCAGTGAGACCCGTCTAGAAATAAAATATGAAATAGGGCTGGGGATGGGATTCAGAGGTCGAGTGCCCCTGAGTTCAATCCCTAGTACCAAAAAAAACAACAAAAAAAAAACAAGAAGAAAAGATTTCCTACAAATAAAAGATGGAAAATAGTATATTGCTTTTCCTTTGAATATCTGAAATAAAGTTTAAGTTCTATAATAAAGGGTGGTGACTCTGAAAACTAATTTGTTTAACTTTTGCTTACTCTGATGTTCACAAAGTTGATTTACTGGCCATCTTTCTTAATCATCCCCTCATCATCAATTATTAGTTACAATTAATTACATTATTTGACAGAGATTATATTATAGGTAGGAAAACAGAATGATACAGTTATGAAGTATACTGAAAAAAAAACAGATAAGTAAAAGAAATAGTTACTCCTATAAAAATTTTGAAGATGATGTCACTGTGTGTCATAGTAGATCAGGAAACCTTGCTAATCAAGGTTGATTTGTTCACCAACACCCCCCCTACTCCCACCCACTAGTGATTGAACCCAGGGGAACTCTATCACTGAACTGCATTCCTTTTATTTTATTTTTATTTTTGGTATTTGGGAGGGGTGCTTTACTACTGAGCCAAAACTCCAGTCCTTTTATTTTTTATTTTGAGACAGATTCTTGCTAAATTGCTGAGGCTGACCTCAAACTTGCAATCTTCCTATCTCAGCCTCTCAAATCACTCGGATTACAGGTGTGTACCACTGTACCTGGCTCAAGGTTGAATATGAGCTAAATTGTTTTAGCCTGCAGTAGTTAACAGCAAACACTTAAATTTCTTTTTTATAGTTGTAGATGGACAGCATGTCTTTATTTTATTTATTTTTTTAGTATTTATTTGTGGTGCTGAGGATTGAACCCAATGCCTCACATGTACTAGGAAAGCACTCTACTGATGAGCTACACCTCAGCCCCTTATTTATTTTTATGTGGTGCTAAGGATGGAACCTAGTGCCTCACACGTGCAAGGCAAGCATTCTGCCACGAGCTACAGCCCCAGTCCCAGCAAATACTTTTTCATCATGAGGATAATCAGTATTTTTGAAACTTAAAACCTGAGCCATTTATATTAATAGAGTGCTAAATTAATAGTCAGGAAATCTCTTCTAGGGCTGGGGTTGTGGCTCAGTGGTAGAGCGCTTACCTAGCATGTGTGAGGTACTGGGTTTGATTCTCAGCACTGCATATAAATAAATGAATAAAATAAAGGTTCATCAGCATCTAAAAAAATATTTTTAAATATCTCTTAACATTCAATCAAGCAACCAAAATTTACTTAATTTCTGGTGTGCTAAATAATGTGGCAGGTACAACCAGTTCTCTATCTATAGGTTTCTCATCTAACTGCAGATCAAAACATTTAGGAAGAGGCTAGGGATGTGGCTCAGTGATAGAGTACTTCCCTGCTACATGTGAGGCCCTAGGTTCAATCCCAAGCACCACACATACAATAAGCAGAAAAATTTTAGGAAAAGAATTCCAGAGAGTTCAAAGCAAAACTTGAAATTTTTATATTTCAAGCACTATACCAAATCCCCACAAATGATGTATAGGAACACCTTGCTATGGCCTCCCACCATTTGCATAGATTCTCTTTCTCTTTCCAGTATTTATTTGATCATTGATCATCTCATGTCTCATTCATGTACTATGCAGTTAGGCTTACAATGGTTGTGTTTGTATTGAACATGTATAGAGAGAATGCGCAATAGGTTAAATGCAAATACTATACTATTTTATGAAGAGACTTGAACATTCATGGGTGTCTGAGGAAGGTCCTTGAACTAATTCTTTTCAGTACATCTGTTCTAAGGATATGAAATTGAATAAGATATAGGCCTGTTCTTCAAGGAAGCTACATAAACAGATGACAATTAAGCAAAGTAAGAGTCAAATACAAGATGTTATAGAGGACCAATGAGAAAGAGTCATCAGGGAATACGTCCCAGAAAAGATGACACCTAAATTGATACCAAATACTGTCTTATATTAGCCAGTACATCCCAGAAAAGGGAACTGTATAAGAAAGGTAGATGCAAAAGATGTTGTGGTCTGTGTGAGAAGTTAGCAGTATGGTATCCAAAAGTATAAGGACTGAGTCAAAAGAACCAGGGCAAGGAAGACTATATCTCGGTAAGAACTTTATCATGATATGGAGGTCTTCAGCTGTTGGGTGGTATGGGTTTTAGTCATTTTATAAATAAATTGTTCTGGATACTTTGTGGAAGTCATATTTGAGAAAAAAAAGATTATAACAGGGACACCAAAGCTTGACTATCGAATTTACTGAAGTTACATGACATAATACAAGATCAAAAGACAGAAGGGGGAGTGGAATAGGGAGACTCTTAAGTGCAGGTTTTAGTATTTAAAGGTTCTCCCTTTGAAGTCAGGAAATCAGAACAGCTACCACTGGCAGCAGAACGATTAGGGTGATTGGCTCGTAAATGTGTGTTGAGAATCCTAGCCATTTTTTCATGCTTTTAACATTGAGTATTCACTATGTAATAGTTATTGTTATTGAGGTTGGGACTACAAAATTCTAACATAACTGTCAAAATTAGGGCATTTTTTAGTCTTTTCCTTTTATAAAATTGCTGTTCACCAGAATTGATGATTGACAGAATTTAAATTAGAAAGCATTGAAATCCTGCAGGGTGTTACATTTGTCCTTTTATTCATCTTTTTACTGCACATATAGTATATGGTGTGTTTATTAATTTTAGCACTACCTATCATGGTGGCACACACCTGTAATCCTGCGGCTCGGGAGGCTGAGGCTGAAGAATCATGAGTTCAAAGCCAGCCTCAGCAAAAGTGAGGCACTAAGAAACTCAGTTGAGACCCTGTTTCTAAATAAAATACAAAATAGGGCTGGGGATGTGGCTCAGTGGTTGAATGCCCCTGAGTTCAATCCCCAGTACCAAAAACAAAACAAAACCAAAAAAAAAAACACACACACAATTTAGTACTAATGTATTATTAAGAATATAAATAGAGAATATAAAATAATGGAGAACCAGATTACCTGAGTTTGAGTCCTAGATCTACCATCTGTTAATTCTGTGACCTTGTGAAGTTATTTAACCTCTCTCTTAATTTCTCTATCTGTAAAACTCTTAATTACTACTCAACATGGGATTGTTATAAGGCTTTAATGAGTTAATATTTGTGAATTGTTTAGAGCTGTGCCTGTGTGTAAAGTGCTAAGTGCTGTGGACACAAGTGTTTAGATAGAAAGAGAGAGGGGGAAGGAGCATCATCAATCCAGTCTCCTTATTTGCAATAGGTTCTAAGTGAAAGTTCACTTCAGAAAGTAAGTTTAATCAGTCAGCGTGTGCATGTTTATTCTCTGCCTAATATGATAGAAGAATTGAAAAGTAAATAAAAACTAGCTTCTGCTCCTAAATTTAACTCCTCTTATTGGGAGGACAAGATGATACCATTTATTCAGTTCATAAGTAACTCAATAATTGAGGTCTCCGTAATAAGTAATAGGGAGGTACAAACGAGTAATAACCATCCTCATATCTAAAAGAGGACAAAATATAAAATCAGGTTGTGGTATAATTTTGGGATAGTTGAAAGATTGAAGGAAAGTAAGCACTGGTCTTTGCTCTATTATTAATTCCAAAATTGAAAAAGCTCTGAAAACTCAGTTTAATTTTCATTAGCTAAGGGCTAAAACTCACTTCATCGCAAACCTGACCTGAACTGCCCTGAGGGTATTTATAATCTTAATCCTACTTAGTGAGCCTATTCATGTTTGCTGCAGGAATATTAGGGTATTGGATTACCGCTCATTTGCTTACCCTATTGGAGATGTTACATAATAAGTAGGTGTACAATAAATGGAAAATCCTCCACATTCTGAACACCAAATGCTTCTAGACTCAAATTTTTTAGATAAGGGAATATTGGTTTCTACTGCTCATTGATATGAGACAATCTAGAAAATACAGATAAGCAAAAATAAGTCAAAACTTGCCTAAGCTGGGCATAATGGTACATGTCTATAGTCCCAGCACTCTAGAGACTGAAATTGGAGATCTCTTTTTTTAAAAAAACTTTATTTTGCTTATTTATTTTTATGTGGTACTGAGGATTGAACCCAGTGCCTCATACATGTTAGGCAAGTGCTCTACCATTGAGCTATGACCCCAGCCCCTGGGAGGATCTCTTGAGCTCAGGAATTTGAGACCAGCCTGGCCAACTCCATAGTGAGACCGTATCTCAAAAAAAAAGGGAGGGGGACTTGTTTAGAAAATTAAAATCATAATGAGATATTACTACACACCTAGACTACACCAAACATTGTAGAACTTACACACATTGCTGGTTAAGAGTATAAAATATCACAAATACTTTGGAAAACTATTAGTTTCTGATCAAGTTAAACATATATTTTCCTTTGTACCCAGTCACTCCACTTCTAAATATTTACTTGTTCAAGAGAAATTAAAACAAATGTTTAAAAATATTCTATAAAGAGTGTCTATGGGGGACTGGGGTTGTGGCTCAGCGGTAGAGTGCTCGCCTCGCATGTGCGAGACCCTGAGTTCAATCCTCAGCATCACATAAAAATAAATAAGTGAAATAAAGGTATTGTGTCCAACTACAACTAAAAAGTGAATATTAAAAAAAAAGAATGTCTGTGGCATTTTTATTCATAATAGCCAAAAACTAGAAGCAACCCAAACATACATTAACAGATGAATGGATTTTAAATCTATTATTAATCTTGCTATGGTATAGCAAGACATGATGGTGCATACCAGTAATCCTTGCTACCCAGGAAACTGAAGCAGGAGGATTGAAAGTTTGAGATCAACCTGGGCAACTTAGCAAGACATTGTCTCAGAATAAAAAAGAAATAGGATATAGTTCAGTGGTACAGCACTCATACGTTCAATTCCCATATTGAATGGGGTGAGGTGGGGATAGTTTAAATGGAATACAGTTTAGCAGTAAAGAGGAATGAATTACAGATACATGTGACAACATTGATGAATCTCAGAAAGAGACCAGTCATGAAGTATATAAACATTTCTGTATCACATAAAATCTAATATAATTATGATTTTGTGAATTTATTTATTTGTTGGTTTTGGTGCTAAGTATTGAACCAAGGGCCTAGTACATGCTAAGTGCTACGATTGATCTATATCCCCAGGCCCAACAGGATTTTTTTAAAAACGAGTTCCCTTCATACTATTTGTTAACAACCTAAGTGTAAACAGATAAAAGCTGAGCTGCTGTGGTTGAATGGAAGGAATGATTGAATTATGTGATCTGTAAGATCTATTCTAAGGGGCTGGGGATATAGCTCAGTTGGTAGAGTGCTTGCCTTGCATGCACAAGGCCCTAGGTTTGATCCCCAGCACCAAAAAAAAAAGAAAGAAAAAAACTAATCTAGTAAATTGGTGTGTGTGTGTGTGTCTGTCTGTCTGTCTGCCTGTCTCACTGGAGATCAAACCTAGGGCCTCACTAATGTTCTAAGTCTATAAAGATGTGTTTCTTTGTATAGAAGAGTTTCTTTTTTTCATCATTCTGAGTAAATGGAAAAGTAATTTTTTTTCCTTTAAGTACTAGGGATTGAACCCAGGGGTGCTCTACCACCACATCATATCCCATTCTTCTTTATTTTTTATTTTGAAATGAGGTCTTACTAAGCTGCCTAGACTAGCCTCAAACTTTCGATACTCCTGTCTCAGCCTCCCCATTCATTGTGATTACAGGCATGCACCACTGTGCCTGGTGGAAAAGTAATAACTCTTATGGAGCATGTACTATGGTCCAGGCTTTATTCTTAGCATTTTATGTAAGTTAATTAATCTAAGCCTCATAACAACCTAATAAAGTCCCATTTGCAAATGGAATACTGCAGTGGAATGAGATCCATTTGCTTAATGTTAGACAATAGGTAAACGTTGGAGCTCAAACTTGAACTCAATCCATTTGGTTCTAGAGTTCATCACTCCACTCAGCTACCTTTCAAAATAAACGGAATTATATTGTTTTCTTTGTACTATGAAAAAATAGCTTTTTGTGATTTTGTTTTTTATGTTTGTCTAGAGTTAGCTAACATGGAAGAGGATCCTAGATCAGCTGGAGTTGCTACCTTTGTTCTTCAAGAAGAATTTGATAGATATTCTGGCTATTGGTGGTGTCCAGAAGCTGAAACAAGTAAGGAAGTTCAAAATAATGTATTATAGGTCAATTGAGATATTAAAAGATTCACCTGTCAATTGGTTAAGTATACAGATTCTGAATATCAGATAATAGATACTAAAGTAATAATGATTAGATACTGGTTATGTAGAATAAATACATAGACTCTATATCTCACCATAATGAATTCTACTGAAAACAACGGTATTATAGTTTAGTACCTCAGGTTCTTGATTTTCTTTGCCAATTTTTCACCTACAAGCTGTTTTTGGTAATTTTGGCAATATTATAGCAAAATTTAAACGACCACTTCTTAATGAGTTTCTATGTATGATTAGAGCCATGCACAGTGGCATACATCTATAATCCCAGCAACTCAGGGGGCTGAGCCAGGGTTTTTACAAGTTCAAGGCCAACTGAAAAGCGTGATTGACAAGAGTTTGCATGAACAGATAACCAAACCAGTGGATAACTATGCAAGTATTTCATTGCCTGCAAAACAACTCTCTAAGTAATAACTTACAACTTTTTGACCATGATTCAGTTAGAAATTTGGTTATAATCATGATCTAATAATTTTACATATACTTTATAGATAAAACAAATTTTATGAAGCAATATTTATCCTTATATGCAGTGCACTCTGATACTATTACCCTTTCCTGTGTTGGTTTTTAAAACGTTGGTTATTATCCATTAATACCTTTTATGGCCCACACATCCAAGGGACAAATATTTATTTTTAAATATTTATATTTAATTTTAAGGTATGAAATATTTTGCCATAATTATATTTTATTAGATCAGATTTTTATACAAATAAATGATTCAAAATAACTGGATTCTATTTAAATAACACTTTGTAGGAAATATTATAAATTAAATAATTCCCTTTTTAACAAAGAATGCATTTTAAAGTATGCAAAGACACAGCCCTTCAAAAATGTCTTCCCCTGGGGCTGGAGTTGTAGCTCAGTGGTAGAGACATTGCCTAGTATGTGGGAGACACTGGATTCAATCCTCAGCACCACATAAAAATAAATAAATAAAATAAAGGTATTGTGTCCATCTATAACTAAAAAAAAATAAAGAAAATTTTAAAAAATAATGTTTTCCCGTGTTTAAAAAATATGTATGTATCATCTTCAGTTTTTTCCCCCAAAAGAACCAGTAAAAAGTAATAGGAGTAAGCAGTAACTCCCTTTGCTATTACAAAGACAAGTTATATTTTTATATGTAAAAGGCATTGTGGGCTGAGGGTGTGGCTAAGTGGCAGAGCACTTGCCTAGCATGTGTGAGGCCCTGAGTTCAATCCCCCACACCACTAAATAAATAAATAAGTAGCAGATTTTGTACACAAATTATTTTTCATTATCAGAAATCTAATACTAGTGAGGCTGGGATTGTGGCTCAGCGGTAGAGCGTTCACCTAGCACAGGTGGGACCCAGGTTCAATCCTCAGCACCACATAAAAAATAAAGACATTGTGTTGTGTCCATCTACACCTAAAAAATAAATATTAAAAAATAAATAAATAAATCTAATACTAGAGGGAATAGTTAGTTATGATTATTTTCTGGAGTAATTCTTCTACATTTACAATATCTAAATTCCTTTTAAGCTCCTAATGGCGGTAAAATTCTTAGAATTCTATATGAAGAAAATGATGAATCAGAAGTGGAAATTATTCATGTTACATCCCCTTTGTTGGAAACAAGGAGAGCAGATTCATTTCGTTATCCTAAAACAGGTACTGTGTTCCATTGACCTTTGTATTCATTCATTTCCCCCTTCTAAATAAGATTTCCTCCTGTAGTCATTCTAAGGTGTAGTCAGCATTGGTTATTTACAACCTTAATAAGGATAGTGTGTTGTCACTAAAATAGATTTTAAAAATTATTTTCAGGGCTGGGATTGTGGCTCAGCGGTAGAGTGCTCGCCTAGCACGGGCGGGACCCAGGTTCGATCCTCAGCACCACATAAAAATAAAGGCATTGTGTTGTGTCCATTTACATCTAAAAAATAAATGTTTAAAAAAGATTATTTTCAAAGTGGAGATGTCTACAACACTGTTTACTTCGAGAAACAAATAAGGAGGTGGTTGAACGTGGTGGCACTTATCTGTAATCCCAGTTACTTGGGAGGCTAAGACAGGAGAATTGCGAGTTTGAGGCCAACATGGGCAATATAGTGAAACCCTGTGTCAAAAAATAAAAAAGCGGGGATGTAGGGGATGTAGCTCAGTGATCACTTGTCTAGAATGTTCAATCCCCAATACCTTCAAAAAAAAAGAAAGTAAGTATCTTCTCTGCCAAATAAAGTTTTTTTAGTAATTCTGTTCTTAATTAGTAAGTTTTTGTCTATTTTACTGCTCACAGCTTTCATTTTTTAAAATGGTACAGAATTTCCTTTTATTTCATACTGATCCTTCAGGTTTTTTTAGCCTCTGTTTTTTTAATATCCATATTTAAAAGTTTGAATTTAAGATGGCCTTTGTATTCATTCATTTCCTCCTGAGATTCCTGTGTAATAAAGCTCTGACTATTGGGCTGGGAATATAGCTCAGTTGGTAGAGTGCTTGTCTCATACACAAGGCCCTGGGTTCAATCCCCAGCACCACAAAAAAAAAAAAAGCTGTGGCTATCTTCAGTATTACCAGCTTAACTAAAGTATAAACAGGATTGATCTAGCTCAATTAGTGCAGGTAATTTTAGATATACATTACTACTCACTTATGTCTCTTTCTAAAGGCACAGCAAATCCAAAAGTCACTTTTAAGATGTCGGAAATAATGGTTGATGCTGAAGGAAGGGTAAGTATTAAATGTTGAGTTGACTTCTGTGCCCTCTAACTAATCTAATCAATCTAGTAAGGGCCTTTGATAACTTTTTTTTTATTTTTTATTTTTTGGATTTGGACTTGCCAAGATATCTATGGATCATGATTTTTAGGTTGACCAAAAATTTTCTACTTCCAAACTTACTGCTGATTCCCAAGATATGAATATAGGGATATCCATGTTTGCCACTCCTTTCAAATAGTTTTTCTTCTTTGCCTTTATTAATTCTTCAATGTTAAAATTAGTGATTTAGTGCTTGCTTCGGCAGCACATATAGTAAAATGGGAACAATACAAATAAGATTAGCATGGCCCCTGTGCGAGGATAACACGCAAGTTCTTGAAGTGTTCCATGTTTTTCTGATTCATAGTGGGGTTGGGAGGGGGAGCATGGGAAGATTAGACAAATTTTAGATATGGCAAAGGGGAGGGAGGGGAAGGGAGGGGGCAAGGAAGTAAAAAAGATGGTAGAATGAGATGGACATCATTACCCTAAGTACATGTATGAAGACATGAATGGTGTGAATATACTTTGTATATAACCATGAAAATTGTGCTCTTTATGTGTAATATGAATTGTAATGCATTCTGGTGTCATATATAACAAATTAGAATAAAAAATTTTATTTCATACGTGAACTTTATTATATGGATATAAATTATTTCCATATCTAATTTGTTTTCTTCATGAAAGGGTGTTGAATTTTATTAAATATCTTTCTAGGCTGTTGAGATGATCATGTGCTCTTTTTTGTTCATTCTCTTAATATGGTGTGTTACATTAATTGATTATTATATTTCAAACCATCTTTGCATCCCAGGGTTAAATCTCACTTGGTTGTGGTATATGATCTTTTGAATGTGATATTGGATTCAGTTTTCTTATATTCTGTTGAGGGCATTTGCATGTATGTTCATCAGGCCGTTCTGTACTAGAATTCTTTACATTTTCTTTTCAAAGGACTTCCACATTTGCAGAAGAGCAACTCATTATTGACTTTACACTATGTATGTAGTTCTCTACCCTGAAAAGTGCCGAATACAAAGAGCCTAGTTCTCTGAATGGAACATGAAGGAAAGAACAAGGCAGCAAATGATTCATGCAATTAAAATATATTTTTAAAACCCTGCTATAATAATCTCTGATATTCTTGAGATCAAGAAAATATTTTAGGTGGATAGGAAAAGAAAAGACAGTGGAATGAATCTGACATAACTTTCCAATGTACATATATAAGTATACCACAGTGAATCTCCCCATTGTGTACAAGAAATTAATTTTAAAAAAATAACTGGGTAAATGGCAGAAAGATCAGTAGAGGGAAGGAATTGGGGTGGGAAAAGGGAAGGGGAAGGAGAGGTACTGGGGTCTGAATTAGAATATATTCCATGTTTGTCTATGTCAATAGGGATTCTACTATTATGTACAACTAAAAACAGTTTTTAAAAAGAAAAAAAAAACTAGTGATTTACCTTCTGTATTGGGTAAATATCTATGGAGGGTTAAATATCCTGCATTTCTCTTGTACTGCTAGTTTCCATGTGGTCAGTCAGATATTTATGAACTGTATGCTCACAAGTTAAAAAGCAGTTCTCTCTGCTAGAATTTTTTTACATAACTTTACTGAGATATAATTCACATACAATACGATTCACTCATTTAAAGTTTAAAATTCCTTGGCTTTTAGTACATTCATAGAGTTGGACATCCAGTCAATTTTAGAACATTGTCGTCACTTCAGAAAGAAACCCAACACCTCTTAGCCATCATTCACCCAACCTCCCCATATCACTAACCCTAAATAACCACTGATCTGCTTTCTATCTCTAGATTATGTCCTATTCTGGACATTTCATATAAATTAAATCATATAATACATTGTCTGGCTGCTTTTAAATTAATGTTTTCAAATGTACCATGTTCTAGTACTTATTTCTCCTTTTTTTGGTGATACTGGGGTTTAAATCTAAGGTCTCATGCATGGCACCATTCTACCACTGAACTGCATCCCCAGCTTGAGTACTTCATTTCTTTTATTGCTAAGTAATGTTTCATTGTATGAAACACCTCATTTTATTTATCCATTCATCAGTTCATGGATATTTGTGTTGTTTATACTTATTTGCTGTTAAGAATAAAATTGCCTGAATATGTATATACAAGCTTTTGTGTGGATTTATGTTTTCATTTCTCTAGGGTATATCCTTTGGAGTAAAACTGTTAAGTCATATGTTAACTATGTTTAATCTTTTTTGAAAGTGCTAAACTGATTTCTAAAGTAGCCGCATTCGCTATTTATTTTCCCACTAGCATTGTATGAGGTTTCCAATTTCTCCACATCATCACCAACACTTGTTACTATCCATCTTATCTATAATAGCCATCCTGATGGGTTTGAAGTGATAGCTCATGTTGATTTTGCTTTACATTTCCCTTATGGCTAATGAAGTTGAACATTTTTTCCTATGTTTATTAGCCACTTATATATCTTCTTTGGAGGACTATCTATTCAGATCCTTTGCCTGTTTTAGAGCATGTATTTATTTTTTAAATTTTGTTTGCTAGACCTTTAAAGGAAAAAAAAAAACATTGCTTGTCCAGGGCATTTCAAACATATATTACACAAATATATTTTAAACTAAAATATAGGGAACCGAGGATTATTATTTTTCTTAGATTCTAGAGTCTAAAGTGATTAAAACTTGATTATATAATTTATTATCAAGAGTTCTTTCTTCTAGTATAAACTTAAAGGAAAAGATGTTTAGATTGTGCTAATTCTTGTGTTTAGAACTTTCTTAGGCATAAAAAGCACCAGGAAAAGTAACTCACCACTTACTGCTGTTTTTTCCTGCATCCTTTGTTCTGTTTTAAATACCTACATCTCAAAAAGAAGTCTGGTGTTACAGATGATGATTTAAGTAGACTAGTGAGTTTAATTATTTTTCTAAACCTTCTATAACAACATTCCTTTTTTCTTTTTTAATAGATTACAGATGTCATAGATAAAGAACTAATTCAACCTTTTGAGATTCTCTTTGAAGGAGTTGAATATATTGCCAGAGCTGGATGGACTCCTGAGGGAAAATAGTGCGTATGTTAAATTGTCACCTCTTTACAACTAATTTAGGATCCAGAGTTTTAGAAATGGGAGCTGCCTTCACATGTAAATTTGCAGTATAATTATTTCTGCACAGGGAATTTTTCCTGAACTAAGGGAACTGGCAGATTTATAATCCAAGCAGCATAAGTGTATTGCATTTTAATTCTCTTACTTAGCGGTTAATGGTTTACAGTGTTATTTTTGGTTGAATTGTCTGACTTCAAGGCTCACACATAAATAAGTATTTTTTTTTTAATTTTTAGTTTTTAGTTGTAGTTGGACACAGTACCTCTATCCGCCTATCTTTATATGGTGCTGAGGATCGAACCCAGGGCATCGTATGTGCTAGGCTAGTGCTCTGCCACTGAGCCACAACCCCAGCCCAAATAAGTATTTTTTTTTTTTTTATTTATTTTTCGGTGGACACAACATCTTTGTTTGTATGTGGTGCTGAGGATCGAACCCGGGCCGCACGCATGCCAGGCGAGCGCGCTACCACTTGAGCCACATCCCCAGCCCCCCAAATAAGTATTTTTTAATCGTATAATTTTGGCAGAAATATTTATAGAGCCTTATGAGAATAATTACGTATAGTTCTTATGTCTTACGTAGACAACAGCATTTTTATGAGACTGGCATTTGTAGGCACTAAAGGGCAAAAACAGTTTCAAAGGCCAATAATGATTTTGGAAATTGAAAGAAAACCACTTTTAAAACTCTATTCAAACTTTTTTTTTTTTTTTTTTCTTGTGGTGCTGGGGATTGAACCCAGGTCCTCATGCATGCTAGGCAAATGTTCTACCTCTAAGCCATATATATGCTTAGCCCTCATACTTAACTTTTGAAAATAACTGTAGAGTATTTTTAATTAGCTATTTATAAGTAATAATTTACTATATAATAAAGCAGTTCTTTCAATGTAAGTATAGAAATAATCAATAGGTGCCATGAAAGAGAATAAGGGATTATTCATTTTCTGAGAGCTTCTTTATTTCTGGTGCTTTTCTTTATTTGTTTAAATAGTGCTTGGTCCATCCTACTAGATCGTTCGCAAACTCGTCTACAGATAGTATTGATCTCGCCTGAATTATTTATCCCAGTAGAAGATGATGCTATGGAGAGACAGAGACTCATCGAGTCAGTGCCTGATTCTGTGACACCACTCATTATCTATGAAGAAACAACAGACATCTGGATAAACGTATATGCATTTTTTCCCTGTACTTGGCTAAATATTTCCTTAGAATGCTAAAGCAAATGAAGTTTTATAGCAAACTATCAAAATGCATTTTTTTAAGCTCAAAGGAACTATGAATGTTATTTCCTTAGTTTGAATATTTCAGTTGGAATGATGGTTTTAGAATGGAAGAGTGTGTAGATAAAAAGTAAATGCCATTGCAATGACATCTCGGTGTGAATTTGTTCCTGGATACGTTAGGTATCAAAATATTCAGCTTAATCTTCAGCCCTTCTTGCTTCTAAGAGGACTTTCAGAATTTAATCTACAAAAGTCTCTCTCTGTTAAGTCGGTAAACTATACCAAAATATACCAGGTTTTAATTCTTTGCATTTTTCATTTTAGCATTAAAACTTAAATAAGACACAAAATAAATATAGCCACTTTACTTCCTAACTGAATATAGGCTTAATGCATTTCATCTAAACAGACAAACATCTGTTTTCCTTCCCTGATAGAATATTTCTCTTTGAAAAACATAAGTAAAAAATGTTGTTCCTCATCATTTTGTGTTAAGATATGTATCATTAAACAAACACTGTACCATGTTTCAAAGATCATAGAAGTTTTTGGTCATATTTTTTTCCCTCAAAGTTCATGTCATATGGGTAATGTACCGATGTCGTAATAAAGTTTAGAGGGAGGCATATCTCACATAAGAGCGTGAACACCCAATCATCGCACTTATGAACCAAAGGATCTTGGTCATATCTTTTTTCTTTTTCTTTTTCCGTTTGGAAGCATGTATTTCTTGATGGATGAACACTTTTATCTAAAGTAAAGTAAATATGAAAGGCTCAGGCAAAACCTGTTATTGTAACTATACCATATCCCTAGCACTGACAGTTCTTAATTACGTTTACCAATAATTCTTCCTTCTCTAGCTTAATTGAATTATTTATGTAGTATTTTCATTAATGTGTATAGTAAATTAAGCTATTCATTTTACAGATCCACGACATCTTTCATGTTTTTCCCCAAACTCACGAAGATGAAATTGAGTTTATTTTTGCCTCTGAATGTAAAACGGGTTTCCGTCATTTATATAAAATCACATCCATTTTAAAGGAGAGCAAATATAAGCGATCCAGTGGTGGGCTGCCTGCCCCAAGTAAGAAATCCTTTTTTATTCAAAAAAGAAAAAATGTTGGTACAGAAGGTGGGATAGACAGGAGCATATAATGTCTCTTTTGTATTCTTCATAAGCATCAGTACCTATGTCACTTAACAATATTTAACTTAAATTAGAATACAAATATATGCATGTGCAAAAATAGAACAAAGTTTTCAAAGAATGTAAAATAAATTATTAATATTAATGGGAATACTTATTTTTGCTTTATACTTTCACCTTGACTGTTTTTAGTTTGCTTAAAGTAAGCCCATATTGAATATTTTTCTAAAATATTTTTAGTTGTAGATGGCCATGATACCTTTATTTTATTTATTTATTTTTATGTGTTGCTGAGGAACAAACCCAGTGCCTCACGCATGCTAGGCAAGCGTTCTACCACTGAGCTGGAACCCCAGCCCCAATAAGCCCATATTATTTTTATATTAAAAATAGTTTTATATTTTAACATTTAAAAAATGTTATTTGGGGGCTGGAGATGTGGCACTTGCCCTAGTATTCATAAGACAGATTCTAGGTTTGATCCTTAGCACTACAAAATAAATTTAATTTTAAAATTAAATGTTATATATTATTAGTTATTTTTACACACTAGGTGTTTCTCATACTCTTCCTCTACATTGAAGTTAATTTATAATTATAGATCTTCAAATTGACATAATTAAATTACCTAAAGTAAAATTAAATATTTTATTAACTGAAGTTAATTTATCTTTAAAAACTCATGGTTCGGAGCTGGAGCTGTGGCTCAGTGGCAGAGCGCTTGCCTAGCACATGTGAGATACAAGATTTGATCCTTAGCATCGTATTTAAAAAAACAACAAACAAATAAAAAACTACAAAACAAACAAACAACAACAACAAAAACAGTCATGGTTATTCTGGGAAATGTAATGTAGAATGTATATGTAAGTCTAGAAAAAGTGAAATGGGATGCTAGGGGTAGTTCAGTGGTAGAGCATTTTCCTAGCATGCAAAAGGCCTTGGTTTCCATCCCCATCATTGCAAAACCAACACAAGAAAAAATAAATTGGTACATCAATTACTTTTCCTAGATTTTTCTAAAGCTGAGTTATAGTTTTCTACTTTGTTGTTGTTTGAAACAGGGTCTCATGCAATGTTGAACAAGCTGGACTTGAATTTGTAATCCTCCTACCTCATCCTCCCAGGTAGATGGGATTACTGGCATGTACTGCCTATGCCCAGCCTCAGTTTTCTATTTTAATAATAGAATTTGTTTTAAAATAGTAAGCACTTCATGTTAAGTTATGTTTTACTGCCATTCATAATTTAGACTTGACATGTCTTTTAAGAAAATTGTGGTTAAATGTACATAAAATTTGCCATTTTGATCATATTTAAAGGTACAATTTAGTGGCATTAAGTACATTCACATTGTTGTGTGATCGTTACCACCACCCATCTCCAGAATTTTTTTTTTCCCTAAACAGACTAGTCATTAAGTAGTAATTCCCCATTTCCTCCTCTTCTAATTCCTGACAACCACTTTCTATTCTTATGAATTTAACTCCTCTAAATAATCTCATTTAAGTGGACTCAAAATTTGTCCTTTTGAGATTGGCTTATTTCGTGTAGCATAAGGTCCTTAAGATTTATCCATGTTATGGCAAGTGTTAGAATTTTCTTTTTTGGGGGGTGGGGATGTGGCTCAAGGGGTATCGCGCTCACCTGGCATGCGTTCGGCCTGGGTTCAATCCTCAGCACCACATACAAACAAAGATGTTGTGTCCACCGAAAACTACAAAATAAATAAATATTTAAAAAAAAAAAGAATTTTCTTTTTAAGGCTTAATAATATTCCATTGTATGTATATATTCCATTTTATTTATCCATTATCTATGAGGTGTACATCTAGGTTGCTTTTACCTTTGGGCTATTGTGATTAACACTGCTATGGATGTGGGTGTACAAATATCTCTTCCTGTCCTGGCTTTCAATTCTTTTTTTTTTTTTTTTTTTTTTTTTTGTGTGTGTGTGTGTCTGTGTCTGTGTATTTCACTGGGACTCTAATCCAGGGCCTCCTCCATGCTAGGCAAGTGCTCTACCACTGAGCTACACCTTCCAGGCCCTCATTTTTCAACTCTTTAGGATATGTATCAAGAAGGGAAATTTCTGAAGAGCTGCCATACTTTTTTCTTCCATAGTGGCTATCCCATTGGGACACCAATGATTGTACCTATACCATTTTACATTCCCATCATCTTGCTCAGGGATTTTAATTTCTTTACATCCTCTACAATACTTGTTTTCCTGGGTGGTTTTTGTTAATAAATATCCTAGTGGATATGAAATGGTATCTCTTAATTTTGAACTTAGTTCCCTAATAATTAATGTTGTTGAATATTTTTTTAATATTTATTTTTTAGTTGTAGTTGGACACAATACCTTTATTTTATTTATTTATTTTTATGTGGTGCTGAGGATCAAACCCAGGGCCTGGCACATGCTAGGTGAGCGTTCTACTGCTGAGCCACAACCCTAACCCCTGTTGAATATCTTTCCAGTGTTCTTATCAGCCATTTATATATATATATATATATATATATTTTTTTTTTTTTTTTTTCTGGAGAAATGTCTTTTCAAGTTTTTTGCCAATATTTAAGTTAATTGGTTTCCTTTTTCAGTATGGTTTTTTTAATTTAGTGGTTGGGAAGTAGTAAGCTGCATCCTGAGACCAGCAATAGCAAATTAAATACCATCTACTCTTTGCTAATTTCCTTAGCCTAATTTCTGTAAGGAAGACAAGATCTTGTATATTTAAGATGGCAAATTTCTTTCCTTAGAGTCTTAGCTTAGCCCTGAGTGTGAAATTGTCCTTATCAGGTCCTCTGTTATTCAGAAATTAAATCCACTTATGGAATTCCACAAAATTTAATGATAAAGACCAAAGAGCTATGAATAGTAAGTAACTAAAACAATACTTTTTGAAACAGTAATAAGATGATAACTTAAAATTTCATACCCCAGTTAAAGACTATAGAAAGTGCTGTTATCATCTTAGAACATCTCTGTTCCCCATCATGGTCAATTTTTGGGTCCCTCAGTTTGTCTACCTCTTCTTTGCTTTTCTCTTTCTTCTTTTTCATTAAGCTTTCTTGGTTCAAATTTTCTTCCTTTTCTTTTATGTCTACTTCATTTTCCTTCTCCCTACTCTTTCTTCCTTAAATGGCTACAGTGTGAAACTGTTAATACTTATTATTATGTTAAATAATGTTTTATTTTCTATCCATAAAGTCCAAAGTACTTAATTGAATTTTTGTAAGAAAAATTCTTCTTCTTCAAACTTGCAATCTTCTGCAGTCACTCCCTACAAGATACAAGCAGCTAGAAAAATAGAAATTATTTTCATTTTCTAACCTCTTTAGGCCACTGAGAGAGCCTCATCAAGACAGAATCTCATAAAAAAAAATGGGGGCATGTTGTCATATAGCATGGTAAAAACTTATCCAGTTTATTTTTTGGCACATGAAGAAAAATTATATTGAATTTTTTCTTCTTTGGCTTATAGTTTGTCCCATTTCTAGAAGAAATGCTTTGTGAACTCATTAAGCCTCTGTGTAACCAAAGGTAACCACAGGTGCTTTTGAGTTATTTTCTGACTTTACCCTAAGAATCTATTTTGCTGTTTTCACATTATCTACATGGGTCATTCTATTGTTATTTCAGAGTATTGTGGAAACCCATCACTTGGATTTTGTTTTCTAACTGTAGTTTTTTTAATCCTTTTAAAATAAATAATTCAAGGGCATTTAGTACTTGACACTGTTATACGACCACTACCTCTACCTAGTTCTAAAACATTTTCATTACTCCAAACGTTTTTTAAAAATATTTTTTAGTTGTAATTAGACACAATACCTTTATTTTATTTTTATGTAGTACTGAGGATTGAACCCAGAGCCTCACACATGCTAGGAGTGCTCTACCACTGAGCCACAACCCCAGCCCGATTACTCCAAACATTTTTAAATGCAGCTTTTGGGGGAATAAAAACAGTTTAGAATACTATTCTGTGTTGTTTCATTTGCTTATAGGCTGGTATAAAGTACTGAATTATAACTGTAATTATTTTTAGGTGATTTCAAATGTCCTATCAAAGAAGAAATAGCAATTACCAGTGGTGAATGGGAAGTTCTTGGCCGGCATGGATCTAATGTAGGTCCTTTTATTGTACTGATATGTTTGGTCAGCATCTACTGTGTGGAAAAAAAGTCAGTAATACAACTTAATATGACCCCAGTGTTTTGAAATGTCTTTATTTTTAATTGAAAATATTAAGTTAAGGCCTAAAGGAACTCAAGTTTTTGGAAAGGAAGACTCTTAGTTTAAACTATAGATCTCACCTAATTTATAACCCTAGTATTAGTTATGTTCTGGTTACTAAAGATCATCATTTTCAAATATATTGCTGCTTCTTGATAAGGAATTAACCCATATTTTAGGGTCTAGCAAAAGCTGTGAGCTAGGATATAGTTTTGAATCTATTAGAGACTACTCTTATCCTTCCTACATTAGAAATTGTATTTACTATTCCTGTAAGTAGTTCTCTTTTATTCACCCATTTAGTTTATCTCACATTAATTTTTCATCCACCACCTGCAAAGAGGGATCAGCATTTATATAGAGCTTGGATTGATAGAAAAGAGGGGGGAAATTCATCCTCTATTTTGTTTTCAATGTGTGGCTTTTTGTAGCAATTTAATGAATTCTATTTTTTTTTTAACTTTTACTTTTTATAGTACCTTTCATTTGTTTCAGATTTCAGGTAGGTGGCCAGTTTTATTAGCTCTATAAAAACTCCAGTCCTTTCAATATGCCTGACTCATAGAATTAAGTTGATGTATGCTTCCAGGATTTAGTGAAGGCTGAAATGTGATTTCCTCAAATTGATAGATTCCATATCCTTGCTACTATAGAATTCACTGTAGTCCCCAAGGTGATTAGGACAAAGAATGAAGATCCAGATTTCTATATTTGTTTTTGTTATATTTGTTTTTTTTTTTTTTTGTAAGAACTTTAGAATATTAGAGACAGCCCTTAATATCTAATTCCACTGAGCGTTTCACATAGCCTTCTGATTACATATCCATATATATATATATATATATATATATATATATATTTTTTTTTTTTTTTTTTTCCCTCCATTTAGGGACCTTGGATGTTCCTGTCACCTGAGGGAAAAATCTTTTGGGAATTCTAGGTTCTGATAACAGAAAATTACACTAATATAATTTTTATGCAGTGTGTTGGTTGGAGGATCAGAACCGTCAGCTAATACTGAGGGAAACCCCCCAAATTGAATATAAACAGATCTGATCCTTATTTGGGAAACTTAAACGTCTCTCTGTAATCGACCAAAATGTGCATCAATTTTTTTCATGTCAAGCTTATTTTTGTGTGTTGTGACTCTCTCTTTGCCTCTTCTATTTTCCTTATATACTCTGTTTTGTTTTGTCTTTAATTACCCTTTTCCTTCTCCGCTTTTATTTTATTTTTTTCTTCTCTGCTTTTACAAATGATATTGTTCCTACTCAAAGATTCCTGATGGCAATAATTCAGTAAAGCTTTGAGACTTAAAATTATGCACCTTTTACTCTATTTTTTTAAAATTTTAGGTAGACACAATATCTTTTTATTTGTATGTGGTGCTGAGGATCCAACCCAGGGCCTCTCACGGATTAGGTGACCGTCCGCTCTACTACTGAGCCACAACTCCAGCGCCCGCACCTTTTACTCTTGAAAGTATTTCCTCAACAGAGTATGATCCTGAGATGGCACTAAAATATCAACATCACTTTTGAACTTGTTAGAAATGCAGATTTTAGGACCCATCCCAGACCTCCTAAATAAGGAACTCTGGTAGCATGGCCCAGGAATTTGTTCATTAAGCCCTCCAGAAGAGTTGAATCCTGTTGAACCTAAGTAGTTACATAAAGAAAATTAAAAACCATTATAAATGGTATTGAGGAATTGACTGGTTGTTTCTTCAGTTTTGAAAGGCCTGACTTTTAAGAGCAGAACTAGTCCTAACTTCTTGAACATTTGTTTAGTATAGCAGCTGTGTTAACTTAAGGATTTAGCCATCCAAAAAATGTCTAATGAAGAAGTAGTTTCCTGGAAAAAATGAGACATTTAAAAATACTTGCTCTTAGAAATTTATCTGTGTTGTCTTTGCTACATAAACATTTTTTTTTTAATTTTATTTAACACTAAACTGGTAAAAAGATTTTTTAAATGAACAGCAAAAGAAAGCCATTTACTTAGACTATTACAGTAATGTGAGAAGAATACTAAGTGAATTCATCTATGAATTTACTTGCAGTTTTTTGAATTTTGAATGATGACTTAAAATATCTTATTCAGGGCTTGGGATGTGGCTATGTTGTAGAGCACTTGTCTAGCATATGTAAGGCCCTGGGTTCAATTGAGCACTGGGCGGTGGGGGGGGGGATGATCTTATCAGTGCTTACTTATAAACTATACCACTGTTGATAGCATGATTGAGTTCACTTATTCCCCAAACTAAAGATAAAGCGCTTTAAAAAAAAAAAAAGTCGCAGTTTATAGATTTTTTGAAAATATTTTTTTAGTAGTAGGTATATACAATGTCTTTATTTATTTTTATGTGGTGCTGAGGATTGAACCCAGCACCTCACATGTTTGAGGCAAGCACTCTACCACTGAGCTACTGCCCCAGCCCCAGATAAAACACTTTTGTAAATTTAGTTTCTTTCAAGTTTACATGAATGGTTGACCTAAGCTGCAGTCTAGAGTATTTTTTCCTCCTGTAAAAAAAATAATTCTCTTATTTTAAGAAAAGCACATGTTGTAACCAGATAGGAAAATATACAGTGTATACTTCAGTTGTTCATTTTTTTCTGGACAGTATCTGTTGTTAGCTCTAAGTCATAAACAAAACCAATCCGCTTACTAGCATTGGTAGCAAAATAAAAAGAAGCACAAGTCACGGTACCAAATAATTCTGAATAAAATTAAAGGTTGGTCGTTGAACTACTTACTGGCTTTGTTAGAGGTTATGCTAGTACTGATTTTGTTGTTGTTATTATTATTATGGCAGATCCAGGTTGATGAAGTCAGAAGACTGGTATATTTTGAAGGCACCAAAGACTCTCCTTTAGAACATCACCTGTATGTGGTCAGTTATGTAAATCCTGGAGAGGTGACAAGGTTGACTGACTGTGGCTATTCCCATTCTTGCTGCATCAGCCAGGTATAAGTCTATGTTGTATTAAAACCCTCTGTTCATATAATGTTCCTTTTGAATGGTGTGAAAATTGGTAAAGTTGACCTGCAGAAGCCTCATTGTCTTAGGAAAAGCTTTAAAACACTTAGCCTTAACTTCAGTGTTACATATGTACCTAATCATACTCTTACTATACTCTTGCTATAACATTAGTGCAGACATAACAGCAGATAACCTTTTTTTGATTTTTCCTTGAGGAAAAACATAATCATTTCTCTTTTCTCTAGCATTGTGACTTCTTTATAAGTAAGTATAGTAACCAGAAGAATCCACACTGTGTGTCCCTTTACAAACTTTCAAGTCCTGAAGATGACCATACTTGCAAAACAAAAGAATTCTGGGCCACCATTTTGGATTCAGCAGGTACTCTTTTTTTCCTAAATCTGACCATAAGTAGGCTTAGTACTTTAGTGTAAAAATTTATGTTCTATATTCACCTTTGCTGAACAAAGTCTCTTCATCTCTCACCCCTTTCTGTCCCTGAGCTGCTAAGCTTTTGATTGTTCCTACCTTTCCTATTCTGTCAACTACACAATAAGGTGGATTAGCTTTCACTCCAAGCAGGAACAGATCTAGAAAGCCTGCTGAGGCAGGAAGATTTCAAGTTCAAGGCCAGTGTCAGCAACTTAGTGAGACCCTGTCTCAAAACAAAAAATTTAAAAAGACTGGGGGGTGTGTCTCCATGATTAAACACTGCTTGGTTCAACCCCCAGTTCCAAAAGAAAAAAAGAAAAAGAAACTTTTTATTTAAAAAAAAAAATTACTGGTATTACTGGAAATAATTTATTTTACTGAACTATCTTTGGTGCAGTATTAGGGCACAAGGAATACTTGTAAATATACATTAATACGATGACGACCATTATGCAGTGAAATATGGTATATGCTGCTTGTTCCCCCCACCTCAACTTTATTGAAATAGGTGCTTGTTTCTAATCAGGTTTATGGTTTAACCATGAATAGGTTATACTAAACTTAGCGCAAAGTATTTTTTATAATTCTGCATGGAAACACTTCCTAGGCTTCAAAGATTATTCAGAATACTGTGTGTCTGCTTTTGAGATAGATAATTTAATATGTTTTCTTTTTTTTATTAGTTGCTCAAGACAATATTATTTTTTTCAAGATGAATATTTTTACTTAATTTTTTTATTATCTTACCTTAAAAGTGGGTGGTCAGTTATTTGAGTGTGGGGGTGCGGGGTCTGGGTTTTGATATTTTCTTCCTTGCTCTCAGATTACAGAGCTCCCATTAAGAACTCCTTTTACAGACTCTATGTTACCTACTCACAGGTCCTCTTCCTGACTATACCCCTCCAGAAATTTTCTCCTTTGAAAGTACTACTGGATTTACATTGTATGGAATGCTATATAAGCCTCATAATCTACAACCTGGGAAGAAATACCCAACTGTGCTGTTCATATATGGTGGTCCTCAGGTGGGCATATAAATATACACATACATATACACATATATACATATACATATATATATATATATATATATATATTTTTTTTTTTTTTTAATGTGATTTGTTTTTAAAATATCTAGTGTTATTTAGAATAGGATAAGAATTTGAGGGCTGGGTTGTGGCTCAGTGGTGGAGTGCTTGCCTAGCACATGTGAGGCACTGGGTTCGATCCTCAGTGCCACATAAAATATAAACAAATATGGGCTAAGGTTGTGGCTCAGTGATAGAGTGCTTGCCTAGCATGTGTGAGGCATTGGGCTAGATTCTCAGCACCACATATAAATAAATAAAGTCCATTGACAACTAAAAAAAATTTTTTTTAAATAAACAAAATAAAGGTCCACTTATAACTAAAAATATTTTTTTAAAAAAGAATTTGAGCAGTCTTGGGCTTCTGCTATTCTTGACTTATTTCTAATTATCAATTCAGATTGCTAGGTATCCAAGTTTAATTGGCTAATTTGTAAAATAGTTTCTTACTTTACATTGAGGACTATGTAACTCTTAAGGGGAGTGGAATATTCACATCACTAGGTAAATTTCTTTTTTGGGGGCGGGGGGTTGCTAGGGATTGAACACAGGTCTTGTGCATGCGAGGCGAGCACTTTACCAACTGAGCTGTATCCCCAGCTCCAAATATCTTAATTTCTATGTAGAGAAACTTGTTTGGGAAATGAAATTAAACAGTTAAATGTATAGGTAAATAAAAAGTCATATATTTAGAAATTCTTGGTAGCTTATTGAATTCCCCTCTTTATTCTAAGGCTACATCTCTCAAGCAAACTAAAATACTTTACTAGCTGGTGAAGTTAATAACTATGCCATTGCTTAACACTGTAGGAAGTTTACAACTTGATTTTTCCATTTTCTGGATTAAATATTAGCATGTGGCTAATGCTGTTGACCAACAGAGTAAACTGTTTTGGATAGATGAATTGGTTGTTAATTTTTCTTTCATCATGTAACTCTTTAGATTAAGTAATATCCTTTATAATTATTCCCACTTATTTTGTATTTTGTATTTAGAAATGTATCTAAGTACCAAGCAGCATGAAAAATAAAACAACTACATGAGGGCTGGGGACGAGGCTCAGTGGTAGAACACTTGCCTAGAGTGTGTGAGGGACTGGGTTCGAGCCTCAGCACCACATAAAAAATTAATTAATTAATTAATTAAAGGTATCACGTCAATCTACAACAAAAAAAAAATTTAAAAAATAAATATATGAGGCCGGGTGCGGTGGTGCACACCTATAATCCCAGCAACTCTGGAGGCTGAGGAGGACCATGAGTTCAAAGCCAGCCTCAGCAAGGTGAGGCACTAAGCAACTCAGTGAGATGCTGTCTCTAAATAAAAATACAAAATAGGGCTTGGGGATGTGGCTCAGTGGTCAAATGCCCCTGAGTTCAATCCCTGGTACCCAAAAAAAAGAAAAAAAATTACATGAGCCACAAAATCTCAACGATGATAATCGTGTATTAAGTTAAATCATTTTCCCATCATTAAGTATTCCAGATAGAGGAAACTAAATATCAAGAACCTGGGGTTAGAAATAAATTGATAGGGTTGCTAATAAGATGCACCAAAGGAAATAAGGTACAGCTAATAAGATACAGTGCACCAAAGAAAAATGGTGTGAGATGAATTTAGAGATAGCCATGACTCAAATAAGCCAAAGTCTCAAAGGTCATATAGTTTAGATCTTGGACTTGGAGAGTAGCATAGTGGTAGAGCAATTGTCTAACATGTGCAAGGTCCTGGTTTCAGTCCCCAGCACCAAAAGAAAAAAAGAAAAAGTTTAGATCTTTTTCTGAAGGATAATGGTAGCCATTATAAGGAACCAGGCAGTAGTCATATGTCATTGACATTTTTAAAACATCACTATTACTTCATGAGCAAAACAGACTATAAGAGAGCTAGAACAGAAGGAGAAAAACCAGTTTGGCAGTTGTTGTAGTGGCATTAAACATCCAAAACTACAAAAGAATGGAAGACTCTCTCTCTCTCCTTCCCACTACAATCTAACTCAGTAAATATACAACAGCTATTAACTGCATGAAGATAGTATTCTTATTTAACTCGTGGATAACTTTTCCCACCTTTGGTTTTTGCCAGAGGAAAAAACAACAAATCAGATTTTATTACAATTTCAAAACTTTTTTCTTTTTTTTTTTAAAGAGAGAGGGAGGGAGAGAGAGAGAATTTTAATATTTATTTTTCTTACTTTTTGGCGGACACAACATCTTTGTTTGTATGTGGTGCTGAGGATCGAACCCGGGCCTCACGGATGCCAGGCGAGCGCGCTACCGCCTGAGTCATATCCCCAGCCCCTCAAAACTTTTTGTATCCAAAATTTCTATTAAGACCTAGAGCCTTATACATAGATATTTTTATCTGGTAAACCAGTTATATTCAAAATACATAAGAAACTTTTTAGAAATCAATAAAATAAGAACTGAACTTTTTAAAACCAGTCAAGGGCTGGGGTTGTGGCTCAGGGGTAGAGTGCTTGCCTAGTGTGGGTGAGGCACTGGGTTCGATCCTCAGCACCACATAAAAATAAATAAAAAAATAAAAGCATCATGTCCACCTACAACTAAAAAAAATATATTAAAAAAAAAGTCAAAGAAGCTGGGGGATGTGTCTTAGTTCAGTGGTAAAGCACTTGCCTGGCATGCATCAGGCCTTGAGTTTAATCCCCAGCACTGCAAAAAATAATAATAGCCAAAGACATTTCACAAATGTATGGCAGCAAGTAGATATAAGAGAAGATACTCAGCACCATCAATTATCAGGAAATCCAAAGTAACACCACAGTGATAAAAACCACTAAACATCTGAAGAATGTCTAAAATTAAAATAACTAACCATACCCAGTATTGACCAGGAGTAGAGAACCCTCATGCATTGACAATGGGAAAGAAAAATGACACAGCTACTTTAGAAAACTAGTTTTTAAATTTTTCTAAAAAATAAATTTAGCTGACACATAATAATTATACATATTTATCAGGTATAGTGGGATAATTCAATACATATGTTATACATACACATAATATTTTTTCTCTCTCTCTCTCTTTTTTTAGTGAGACTGGGTCTCAGTATGTTGCCCCCGGCTAGCCCAGAACTCCTAGGCTTAAGCAGTCCTACCTCAGTTTGGGATTATAGGTGTGCAACACCACACCTGGCATCTTTCTAATTTTTATCTGAACTTCTTTTTGTTTATTACTTAGTGTCTGCCATCGCTAATTATAGTAATGTGTTTCTTTATGACCAGGAGACTTTCTGAGAAATGTCACTAAGTGATTTCATTGTTGTGCAAACATCATAGAGTTTGCTTACATAAACATAGATGGTATATGTCAGTCACTCAAAGTGGCTTCTTGTGTGTGTGTTCATGTGTGTGTGTGTGCCTGTGTGTTTTTAGGGATTGACCTTGCACATGCTAGGTAAACACTGAGCCACATCTGTAGCCCTCTGCCCCTTTTTTTCCTTAATTTTATCTTGAGACTGGATCTTGCTAAATTGCCCAGGCGAGCCTCAAACTTTCCATCTTCCTACCTCAGCCTCCTGATAGCTGGGATTTCATGTGTATACTACTGTGCCTGGCTCATGGTAGCATCTTGATGAAATCAAGAGATGCAGCACACACAAGATGTACTGTTTTATAGTAAACTTAAAAACAAAAATAAAAAACTTTTCATTGGTGCTTGGAATTAAAATCAGGACTTCATGCATGCCAAGCACTCTCTCTACCACTGAGCTGTACCCCAACCCTAAATTTTATAAGTAGGAAAACACTCTAAAATAGTGATGAAAAGGGGCTGGGGTTGTGGCTCAGAGGTAAAGCACTCACCATGTGTGAGACATAGATTGAATTCTCAGCATCACATAAAAATAAAATAAAGGTATTATGTTCACCTACAACTAAAAAATGTTTTAAAAAATTATGAAAAGTATAGTATAGTTAAATATATATACCAATAACATAGTTATTTATTATAATTATCAATCATGATATAAGGTACCTAATTCTGCTATATTTAAGTAATGTTGGCAGTATAGGTTTATTTATGCCAGCATTACTACAGACACATTATTGAGGAATTGTGTTGTGCCAGCTATGATGTCACTAGGTGATTGGAATTTTTTAGCTCCATTATAATCTTCTGGGACCACCGTCAGATATGCAGACTGTCACTGATGAAAACGTCTTTATGCTAGACATGGATGAATAATTTTTCTTTTCACTTGATGTTTTGTTAATAAAACACTAAGATATATTTAACTTCCTAGTCATTTTGAAGTGTAGTCTCTATGGTGATAAAGTGATTGCAGAATTATCCTACTCAGCTGGGCATGGTGGCACATATCTATAGTACCAGCTACTTGGGGGGTTGAGGCAGAGTATCACTTGAGCCCAGGAGTTTAAAGCCAACCTGGGAAACTTAGTGAGACTTTGTCTGAAAATGTGGCTCAATATTAAAACACTTACCTAGCATGCACGAGGCCCTGGGTTCCATGGCCAGTGTGGGATTGGAGGGGGGCACAGAATTATCCTACTTTTTACACACAGGAGAAAGGAAACAGGACTTGTCACAGTGTCCCTTTAAAAATGCTACATTTTCCCATTGCTAGTCAATGATGACCCTAGAAGAGACAACTGGGAAGGGAAGATGATCTTATTTATCCTGCGACTGTTATTTGAATGACACAATTCTTCTTCAGAGTAGACAGTAACTTTTTCTGTGGGGTGGGTTAATCTTCTTATCTAATAAATAATTAAGATCTATTATTGTGCAGTAATTTTCCTGAAACTTGAATGTGAAATTAAGCAAGAAGCAACATAAACATGAAAAGACTAGTTAATTTTGAAATAAATCACTTAGCCAGGCATATTAGCACATGCCTGTAATCCCAGCAACTCAGGAGGCAGGAGGATTCCAAGTTCAAGGCCAACCTCAGCAATTTAGAGAGACCCTAAGCAACTTTGTTGAGACCCTGTCCAAAATAAAAAGTACTGAGAAGACAGCTCAGTGGTACAGCACTCCTGGGTTAAATTCCCAGTACCAAATAAACAAATCACTTAAAAATTACATTTTAAAGACAAAAGAATAATAAATTCTTAAGCTTTCTGCTTTTTTGCAGTGCTCTGATTCTCTTATGGTTTGTATGTTACCATATAATAAATTTCATTAAAGTTGTATTTCTTCTTCAGGTGCAGTTGGTAAATAATCGCTTTAAAGGAGTCAAGTATTTCCGCTTGAATACCCTCGCTTCTCTGGGTTATGTGGTTGTGGTGATCGACAACAGAGGATCCTGTCACCGAGGGCTTAAATTTGAAGGTGCCTTTAAATATAAAATGGTGTGTGAACACAAAAACTTTTCTTTAAAAAAATTTTTTTTTTTTTTTGGTGCATTGTTTAATGTGAAATCTGCAACTAGGAAAGGGTGTGTGTGTGTGTGTGTGTGTGTGTGTGTTCAGGGGTGGGAGGGAAGATGCAATTTGTGTCCTAGGCTAGTTCATGTCTACCTGTGTATATCTGTGAAGAGCTGAGAGAGAGCCACTTTTATGTAGAAATATCCTCCCTTTCCATATGGTATATCCACCTTAGCCAGACGGCAGCACCATTTTAGTTTTCAGCATCCTTTATGCTGTTGAGGAATATTTGAGATTTGTTCTGTCCTCTGTGAAGAGGGAAACCAACTGGTTAGTCCTTCCTTGTGACAAGCCTCTTTCTCTCTACAGGAAGCTTTAAATGCTACCTTTTAGAGATGCCCCATGTCCTTTCTGCTGCTTTGGGAAATGATGAGAATCCGATGTTCCTTTTGCACAGTAAGGCAGTTACTGTGTTTGCCAGTGTATTGGACATGCTGAGTAAGACATGGGGATTTTCTCCCACAGCCAGTTCTTTGACCTTATGTTATATTCTCATGTAAGTTTTGTTTTGTTTTGTTTTGTTTTTAGTTTTTGGCTCAGTAAAGTAAGATTGTGTGCACTGGCAGGCCAAGTAATACAGATAGGGTGATAGTGGTAAGAACTAGGACTTAATAGAGCTTTAAAGAAACAAATAGTATGTTCAGTTCCTAGTGACATGATGGGAAAATAGGAAGGTTAGGACCTCAAGAGTGATTCCCTCTGCTTTATTGCACTAAGTATTAAAAGAAGAAGTAAAATTAATTCCTCTTATGGGGGCTAATTTTTTGTCTGTGGGTATAGGGAAGGCTTGTTACAAGGAAGATGCTGACCTCTTAGCAGACAACAGAACAAATGTAAATGGGAAATACCCAAAAGCAAGAGTCAGTTTTTGCAGCCATAGGAAAGAATTTTTTTTACTAAGTGATAACTAAATTCTAGGACAGACTAATAACAGAACTGTAGACACCTATTTCCAAGTAGATTTTTGAAAAAAAAAAAAATGGGGATGGGAAATAGAATCTCAGTTATTAATGAATTCTAATCTGAAAAATAAATATTTTAGTAAAAAAGTTTATTAGCTTAAAAAGCACTCTTATAAATGAAATTTTTATGTATCAGAATCAGTGAAATACTCTCTTTTTTTTTGACAGGGTCAAATAGAAATTGATGATCAAGTGGAAGGACTCCAGTATCTAGCCTCTCAATATGATTTCATTGACTTAGACCGTGTGGGCATCCATGGGTGGTCTTATGGAGGATACCTCTCCCTGATGGCATTAATGCAGAGATCAGATATCTTCAGGGTAAGTGATTTCCTATTGTACTCATTTTTTAAATAAGGGTACTGTGTAATAAAGGTTTTTTGTAAATTGAAGATATGTGAAAATGCTTATTTTCTGAAGGTTTAGAGTTAACAATATTATGGAATGTTATGGTCTGTGTATTAAATGACCATATGAAGTCAGTACCTCGGTTGTTAGCATAATTTTTCTTAGACTCTTGTCAACTTTATAGTGAGTTTTTGACTATTTATGGACATATACCAAAAATTATAGTAGGCACTAATGATTAGTAAGACACATACATACATATTAGATTGTAATTGTTTGTTTAATTGTTAGACTATAAGTTCTGACAACAAGGACCTCTTTGCTCTATATGCCACTGTATCCTCAGCTGCTAGATATAATGCTTGGTCCTCAGTGAATTGTCAAACACTAGCCTCTGGGTTCAATTTCCAGCACTGGAAAAGTAAAAGTCTGTGTTGAATGAATGAATCATGAATTATTAAATATTTAAATGCTCACAATGCTATAAACAAACTCTTTAAAAAATATACCAGAGAAAATGAGATGAACATAGTTAATAGGAATTAAAAGTATTAATTTTTTCTTAATATTGTAATAATATGATTTTATTTTACAATGAAAAAAAGGTGTTTTTTGTTTGTTTTGTTTTTGTGGTGATGGTGATTAAACTCTAGGGCACTCTATCACAGGACTGTATCTTTAGCCTTTTATTGTATTTTAGTTTGAGACAGCATCTTGCTAAATTGCCCAAGCTGACCTTGAATTTGCAATCCTCCTGCCTCAGCCTCACAAATAGCTGGGATTAGGGTGGAATGTACCACTGTGCCAGGTTGAAAGTAATTAGATATTTGAATACAGAACCATGTGGAAGAGCCTTAATATGAGGTAAGTTTTTAGTACTTAAATATAGTTCATTCATTGTTTTAAATTTTGTACTACAAAAGAGACTTAAAAAAAAAAAAGACTGCTTTTCCTACATAAAGTTAACAATTCTCATGAATTTATTTTTCCCAATCACAGGAATGAGTTTATGCTGAAGTACTCATAAGCTTTAGTTCAGTCTCCCTCTTGATAAAGGAACCTACAGTTGTATTTCAGCTAGCCCTGGTTAAGGGTTTGGTGTCAGCATGCCTGTGGAACATGAAACTTACTGAGTCACTGAGTATCAAATTGTGACCTTGGCAAGCTACTTCAGTTTTCTGAATGTATGCCTAGTAGTGGGGTTAAAGCCTAAGGGTAATTTTAGCCTGTAAATTTGTAATTTTAAGTTCTTACTGCTAGCCATGCTAGTGTCTGGAACACAATTCACTGTCAGTGTTGTCTTATGCAGGTTGCTATTGCGGGAGCCCCAGTCACTCTGTGGATCTTCTACGATACAGGATACACGGAACGTTATATGGGTCACCCTGACCAGAATGAACAGGGCTATTACTTAGGATCTGTGGCCATGCAAGCAGAAAAATTCCCCTCTGAGTAAGTTCAAGCCCTTATAAAGTTTTAAATTGTTTTTGAAAAACTTATCTTTAATGATAATGAAAATTTCAGATATTGAAAACTAAGACTAGTATTTTATAGAGCACTAGAATGGCTTGACTATTGCTCAAAGCAAAATTAAAGACCAGTTCATATACTGTATTTTGGGTTTTGGGGTTTGATTTTTGTTTTGTTTTGGTTTGGTTTTTGTTTTATGGGGATTGAACTCAGGACCTCATGCATGCTAGGCGAGTAATATACCGCTGAGCTACACCCCACCCATGGTTTGGGTTTGTTGTTGTTTTACAAGTTGTATTTTTTTTTTTTTTTTTTTTTTTTTTTTAAATATTTATTTTTCAAGTATTGGCGGACACAACATCTTTGTTTGTATGTGGTGCTGAGGATCGAACCCGGGCCGCACGCATGCCAGGCAAGCGCGCTACCACTTGAGCCACATCCCCAGCCCCCATACAAGTTGTATTTTGAAGCAGTTGTTTATATTGAAAGAAGTTAAGTACACAACTATTTCAAGATGGGAAAAATTTTGTGTCTATTTAGATATGTTTTATAAGCAGTTTTTCTAGCAACATGCTATAATTATTGATATGTTCTAATTAATAAATTATAAACAAATAATTTTTTCAAGTGTTCTATTACATGTGGGATCTGGTTAATATATTACAAATTTAATATTGAAACTATCGAATCCTTATTCTAACATTGTAGTATAAAGAAGTTAATGTTGACTAAGTGTGATTAGTTCAAAGGAATTTAGTGGTTCCCCCTAAATACTCTTACTATTTTACCTAATATTTTTATTTCTCCAGACCAAATCGTTTACTACTCTTACATGGGTTCTTGGATGAGAATGTCCATTTTGCACACACCAGTATATTACTGAGTTTTTTAGTGAGAGCTGGAAAACCATATGATTTACAGGTGAGTTATTCTATATTTTCAAATTAAATTCAATAGTCATTAGCAATAGGTTACTTTGAAATCTAATAAAATATGGAGTAAGGCCAAATTTTCAGCTGTGTCCATCTAAAGTACAGGCATAGTTATTACTATGATTGGATAAAATTGATGCTATTGAAGTTGGGCTAAAAAGCCTATTGGATTGCATGACTTGTGTATCTATGTCTGCTTTCAGTTTATCAGCATGGAAATGATGACTGGGAATCCATTTACTGCTCTCCTTTGCTTTACTTTTCCCTCTTTGAAGAGTGAGGAGTTGCTAATTGATTTTATATTGAAAAAGGATTTTTAGGCCCAGATTATATAGTATCTTAATTTATTATTACATTGTCATTAGTACAGAAATTAGCAAGTTATCCTCCTCCATTGCTCCCTTATTCAAAAACAGATTTTAAGAGAAAGTATTCTTCCTTTTTATTTCTTAAAAAAAAAAAATTATATGCTTAGCTGGGTGTGGTGGCACATGCTTATAATACTAGCCACTCAGGATGTAGAAGCAGGAGAATTGAAAGTTCTAGGCCAGCCTCAGTAACTTAGTGAGATTCTGTCTCAAAATAAAAAATGAAGGGCTGGGGATGTGGCTCAAGCGGTAGCGCACTCACCTGGCATGCGTGCAGCCCGGGTTCGATCCTCAGCACCACATACAAACAAAGATGTTGTGTCCGCCGAAAACTAAAAAAAAATAAATATTAAAATTTAAAAAATAAAAAATGAAAATGGCTGGAGGGACTGAAGTTGGACTCAGTGGTAGAACGTTTGCCTCGAATGCGTGAGGCACTGGGTTTGATCCTCAGCACCACAAAATAAGTAAATAAATAAAGATGTTGTGTCCATCTACAACTATAAAAGAAATTCTTTTTTAAAAAAAAATGACTTGAGATATAGCTCATTGGAGTGCCCTGGGTTCAAGCCCTGTGGGCGGGGGGGGGGGGGAGATTATGTGCTCATAAGAAATGAAAAAAACATTACTTTTTTCCTTTTTTATATTTCAGTTGACATTTCTGTCCAGTTAAACTATGATATATTTATCTATAGCAGTAGTTTTCAGGCTTTTTGGTCTCAGGATCTCTTTATATACCAAAAAACTTTGTTTATGTGGGTTTTATCTATCAGTGTTTCTTGCTGGGTGTGATGGCATATGCCTGTTGTCCCAGCTACTTAGGAGGCTGGGGCAGGAGGGTTGCTTGAGCACACAGATTTAAGAACAACTTAGGCAACATAGTTTCCAAAATTTGAATTTTCCTTAAAAGCTTAAATTGTGTCATTAGCAAACAAGTACTATTAGTGTGGTCCTCAAAGTGACCATATTACTTCATTTACTTTTGACAAATGTTTGTCAAATACCAAAGTATGAATGATCAATGTTGTCAGTCATTCTCTGCCCAAAAAGAAGGGTGGGGGCAGGGAGTTCCACTAAAAAGCAGCAGTTCAACTTGCAACTTGGTTACATGGGTGCTTTCCTTTGAGACATCCTGTAGCACAAATGCTTTGTGTGTATTTCTCATTTCATCACTACAGAGTATTAAAAAGGCTTCTGTGGGGTTACAGTTTATAAAATTCAATTTTTTACTGCTATTTAAGTGAAATTGGCATTTTTTTCTTTCTTACTACAAGTGTGCAGTGGTGAACATTACTGTGACTTCTGGAACAATTTAATATTATTGCTTTGATTTCATGCTAAGGCACAATTGCTTTTGTATTATCAGTGCTACACAGTCAGTAAAGGCAAATAATGTTTTTTGTAGTTCTAAAAGTAGTTTTGATCTTATGTATCCTTTAAAAGGGTTTCAAAGACCCTTATAGTCTGCATTCCACACTTGGGTAATGAACTGTTGGTTTACAGGAAAATCCTTCATTAAGCCTGATGGGTGTATAGGAATTACAAGACAGGGGTTTTTTTTTTTTTTTTTTTTTTTTTGGTAGTACAAGAGATTGAATTCATGGGTGCTCTACCACTCAGCTACATGCCCAGTCCTCTTATTTTTTATTTTGAGATAGAGTCTTGCTACATTGACTAGGTTGATCTAAGCTTGCAATACTCCTGCCTGATCTCTCAAGTAGTTGGGTAATATTGTAGGCTACACCACCTTGCCTCATGAGGAAGGGGCCTTAAAATAGGATATATTTATTATGTTATGCTCTTTATTATTGATCCTGTTTAAAAAAAAAAAAAACAGAGCTTTCAAGGAGATGTGTTATTAAATTTTGTTTTAATACTTTTACTTTTTGTTGTTAAGATCTATCCTCAGGAGAGACACAGCATAAGAGTTCCTGAATCTGGAGAACATTATGAACTACATCTTTTGCACTATCTTCAAGAAAACCTTGGATCACGTATTGCTGCTCTGAAAGTGATATAATTTTGACCTGTGTAGAATACTGATATACACTGGCTATTTAACCAAATGAGGTTTAATCAATAAGAGAACACAGAATTGATCATCATATTTTATACCTGCCACATAACATCTACTTCTCAAAGTAAATTTGGTGACATATAAGCATCTACAGCTTGTGGATAGTAATCTAATACCTTAACTGTACACACACAAAATTGAAGGATTCATATGTCTAAGGGATCCAGCAATACCACAAGAAATACTGAAAGAAATAAGACAGTAGCACCACATATCCATACTACCCTATTTTCACTTTTAATAGCATTATAAACCTCATGGACTTAATTAGTGTATTTTTACAATATACTTCTGAGTTTATTAAAATATGATGACATTAGTGATCAGTTTGGTTCAATTCCAGAATCTCTGACTAGTTACGGATTTGATAGCACTTAAATGTAATTGAATAGCTATGCTTCATTGCTTGAGGTGTATCCAGCATGTTATGAACTAATCACTATTAAACCTATGACTTAACCAGTCATTAATGATTTTTTAAGATAACTTAGTGGCCTACTAAAGATACTTATTTTGGCTTCTGACCAGTTTTTAGCCAATTTAAACTGTATCTAGTATAAATGATTCTCTTTTTTCTTCAATGAGATGACAAAGTACGTTTTTCCTTTCACATAAAGGCAAAGAACTGTATATATAGCATGGATTTAATTAGTCTTATGATGTTGATAATTATAGACAGAAAATTTTAATCAGATGATTAGAGCTTAAATATTTGCAGGCAAGATTTTTTTTTCTCCTTCCTTTAGGAAAAGAAAAAAGTGCACATTCCCTTGCAGTCAGAAAATTTAGTGGTGCCAGTTTCCTTGTGATATTTCCCTATTAAAATGTTTCAGGGGGCTTGGGTTGTGGCTCAGTGGCAGAGCACTTGCCTAGCACAAGTGAGGCACTGGGTTCAATCCTCAGCATCACTTACAAAAAATAAGCAAATAAAATAAAGGCATGCTATCCATCTACAATTAAAAAAAAATATGTTCCAGAATTTAGGGAGGTGGAAGGAATCACGTGGTGTAGGGAAAGCCAGGGAGTGGAGAATGACAGGGAGAGGAGGTGGTAAGGGTCTACTTAAGAACTAAGCACAAGTAGGTTAAACAGAAATACTCATGAAAAAATTGGAAAGTGAAATTTGAACTACTAGAATATTAGGAAACCAGAATTAAGAAATCACTCTGTTGTCAACAGAGCTTCAGACTAACATCATTCAGGGGAGGAAAACTTCCTTAGAGTTATTTTTATATTCCAGGGTTTTTTGTTGTTTTGTTATTTTTCCTCTTAATTTTAGAATTCTTTCAGATTTAAACTTTACCTTTAAAGTATTGAACATAATTTAGGTATTGTGAGCTTAAAATAAAAAGGTTTCCAAACAACCCCTTTACCATAAACAAACTCCTGGTAAGCCATAGCTTTTTGTTTCAGAGTTTAAAGCCTATGAATAGTTTTTTTTTTTTTTTGAAAGGCCATGACATTTTGTGGGTTTAGCCTTCACACTTGACTGAAGGGAGCTCATAGACTTTTAAGTACTGGTTGAGATCTGTCCTCATAAGGTTTTTGGGTACTGTGGGACCCATTGAAACCAGAGGCAGGAAGGGCATCTATGAGTTTGACCCTTTTTATTACAAGCTTCAGTATTTAAAAAGTTATTACTAGTACTTTTAAATCACTCCAAGAAAAATTTCTCTATTTCTTTTTCACCACTACAGATAGTATACATTAATTCTACAGGGGGTACATAGTATACATTAATTCTACAGGGGGTACAGCCTGCCTTAGTGAGGACCGTGGCTGTGCACCAAAGGTGGACTTGATTGAGGGCCAGGTGAGAGGCAGAGGAGACGCTGAAATGGCAGGGTGACCTGGTGGTTCTGACCTTGGAGAAGGGGGATTGGGTTTTGCTGGTTGTGTATTTATTCTGTATAATAGATTTCATACTTTTCTTTATTATCTGTGTCTGTATTGATTTTCATGTTTATAATGTTTTCTCATGCCAATATTTGTTAATATTTTTTCAGTGTTAAATTAAATTGATTTGGGTAACTTTTCTTCCCCAAGAAAGTATTTTCCCTCATGACTTAAGTATATATCTGACTGTTGGAAGATGGTATTTTTTGGACTAGTTGACCTCTGAGGATCTATCCTTATATGCAAAGTAGAAATGGCATAAAATAACTTTTTAGAAAGCTACTCATTTGAAACCTCTTTCCCATTGAGGTTGTTTCTTCAATATAGCATCTCTTATTTTACCAAAACAAACAAACCTTATAAAACCTCATATGTTCTTGAATTCACAGGTGTTTTCCTTTTCCATTTTGCCTTTTTTCCTCCTATCACCAGGAATGTTCCTTTTATAGCTCCCAGTTACTTAAATGCCATTCTACTTCTCTAGGGGGAGAAAATACCTGGCTGAATTTGTTTTTACTACCTGTATAGAAAACATAGTAAATTTCTCTGTACCCTGACTATGGGTAACAATAGTTATAGAAAGTAACAAAAAAAGTAGTTTTGTAAGAGCTTAAAAGCATCAGGTTAAACACCAACCTAGGTTTTTGTAGGCTTGATAAATGAATAGCAATCACCCAATGCAGTTGCTTAAACTTTGTAGAACATTATAACTCAAAATCGAAGATTCATGTGGGGTGCTTACTGAAAGAAATGCAGTCTTGAGCCTTACTCCTAAGAAATTTGTATTCCATTGATTTGGGTAGAGATCAGGAATGTGCATTTCTAGCAAGCTTTCTAGGTGATGCCAAATCAAATCACTCTGGACTATTTTAAGAAATGTGTTGGGAGGCTGAGGATATAGCTCAGTAGTAGAGCTCTTGCTTAACTTGTTCAAGACCCTGGGTTTGATCCCTACAGCTGGAAGAAAAAGAAACTCTCTAGAGAATGGGATTGGATTAAGAAAATTATAGGGAATTTTTATATTGGACTGACTCATAAGAACTTAAAACAATAGTCAGGAAAGCTGCTGATGTGTGTTAACTGTTGGTTCCTTTTCATTCTGAAAGTAGCAGAAGAAATTAACTTTGTATCCCTTTTGTCTAGAGATTCATTTTGGAATGAAGGTTTTTCCCTCAATGCCATTCATTCCTGGCTCTTTTTCAAAGGCTCACACAAGAATATAACATCACAATACATGCATTACCTTTTAAAATAATGAAATATAGATAATGTTGCTTGCTCTTTTTTTTTTCCTACTTGTTTTATTCCTTACAGAAGGTGTATCCCACCTTTCTATAACACGATTCTCTCTAGGTGGAATGATTCCAGTAAGATTTCATTATTATAGAATCACAAGTTTTCAAGCTGGAGTAAATCTTGGATTAATTTACTATTCTCATTCGTTAGAGGAGGAACTTACATACTACAGAGAGGAAGTCACACAGACAGTTAGTATTTGGTTGGTACTAAATTCCATCTAGATATCCTGCCTCATGGTAGTTAAATGATATATAGAAAAGGCAGATTTTTAAAGATGTATTTATTAATATGTTCCTATAAAACATTTTAAAAGTAAACCACATAAAATGGTTAAATTTTCCATCCTAAAGTAAATGCTAAGCATGCTTATTAATGAAGCAATACTTCTAATTAGTATTTGAGATTCTGAAGTTAATTAAACTTATTACACTAAATATGTTTTCCTTGGTGTAGTAGGGGGTTTGGTGATTGGGATATAGAGTAGACCCCTTGCTTAAGCCCAAAAGCCCATCTTATAGCAATTTGATAAAAAGAGACATGGCTGTAAATTAAGATATGTAATGTGAGTGTCCTTTCCCTGCAGATATGAAGGAATAAGGAAATTTCCCTTACCCCAGCCTTCCCAACCCTACCTATACACTTTCCAGCCAAAAATATTGACTCAGATGTCTTAGTACAAGGTGCTGGGATCTAGGAAATTGTTTTAAAAGTCCCTCACAGAGAAAAAGTCATATTTGTATGTATTTATGTTTTTACATAACCCAAATACAAATTTATGTTATATTCAGCAACATTGGAGTTCAGTTCTTCATAGAGTATAAAGTGCCTGCTGTTTTAAGCATTGACTTGTATGAAATGAATTGCATGTCTCATTCCAGTAAGTTTATGGGTTTTTTTCATTTTCAGCTACATGGCTTTCAATCATGTAAAGTGAAATATTAGTTTTGTTGCATTTTATTACAGGTTCTTGGTTGCAATAAAGATGCTGCTGAAATTAATTGATTTAAATGTTCCTTCCCCACCCACTTCCCCATTTGTACAGCCTTGCTTTGATTCGTCACAGCTGTGGAGTGAATGTGCATGAAGGAGGTCAGGTGCACACAGTGGGGAAAGGATTACATGGGGGTTTAGTGTAAACACTAGCCAGAGTGCATCCCAGCCCAGTGGGTGTGTACACAGAACCACTCATGGTTCTAACAGCCAGCAGCTGATGCTGCCAGGGTAGGTGATATTTGGAACCAGTGACTACTAGTCCCCCTGAGCAGTTGGGATTTCTTAGGAATGCCACTTGGGGTGGGTAGTGATTTGTATACACTCTCAAGGAAATTTTGAGGGAGTTCAGAATATTCTTTTTTCAGAGATGTATCTGACAATTCTCTGGTTTTTTGGAGCTGAATTAGAAAAAGGGCAGGGAGCATATGTACTCCTCTAAAATAAGTAAATATGGATTTGTCTGATAATCTTTCCAGAACAATCTGAATTCTATAACTTTCTGAAGTTGTATGTAAAATATTTCATGAACAAATGGTGGTATATTATTCTGGAGAGATCTTTGGTTAAAGACAATCTTTGAGATAATGCTACAGGAGGCTGGGGTTGGGGCTCAGTGGCAGAGTGCTCGCCTAGCACATGCAAGGCCCTGGGTTCGATCCTCAGCACCACATAAAAATAAATAGATATTGTGTCCAACTAAAAAATAAATATATAAAAAAAGATAATGCTACAGATGAGTGTTTCCCAACCTTTTCACCTCGTGACACATATACAAAATATATATATATATTTGCACGACACTCTAGAATAAACTGAGGCATGCTAGGGTAACCTGTTGAGGCTTCTTCAGCCTGAAGTTACTGGCCAGGCCCACCCCATCTCTAAAGAGATTAGTATCAGCACATATATAATCCATGTGTGGCACAATGGTTAAGAAATTTTTATAGATTACTGTGGTATCTTTAAATCAGCCTGGATTTATTGCTAATCAGAAATCAACTTTCAGCCTAGCCATATGCATCCACAGACTGTGATGGAGGATGTAGACTCTCAGTCCCTGTAGGGCTCCAGTGCTCACTTGTTCACTTATCAGAACAAGTGTGGCCTTATAGCCTCTTGACCTTCTTTTGGCCTAACCTCACCCACTCATGGATATGGAGCAGCAGTGACTGATTCCTTGGTGCTTTTGAGGGAAGCAGAATTAAAACAGCTGCCATATGAAAATCTCAAAACCAGAGTATAGTTTTAGTTTGGTAAATTCCAGGATTTAAATATTCATCAGCCTGGCTATCCACATATCTGTTGTCCTGGCCCTGCCATTCTGGAAGGAGTTCCCATTGAAATGAATTAGTTGTTTCAGCTCTGACATAGGCACCAAGATCAAGTTTGCTGTGTGCTCCTTCCTGAGAGATAACTCTCTAAAATATTTACCAGACTCAAGTCTCATTTTTTGTGTGGGGCGGGTGGGACCTGGGTTGGGAATCAAACCAAAAGCCTCACATGTATCAGGCAAGTGTTTTACCACTGAGCCCAGACTTGAGTTCTTTTTATTTTATATATATATATATATATTATTTTTTTTTTAAGTTTTTTTCGGCGGACACAACATCTTTTTGTTTGTATATGGTGCTGAGGATTGAACCCGGGCTGCGCGCATGCCAGGCAAGCGCGCTACCGCTTGAGCCACATCCCCAGCCCCAGACTTGAGTTCTTGAAATGCAAGTTTAGGAAAACAATTAGCCAGGATAGTAGTCCCTACTTATCTCTAGGAATCCCACCACTACCACCACTACCATCCTCATTGGAAAGACACCCTGCAGAAGTGGCCTAGTTATTTTAGAATTCTCTTCACAGGTACAGTTCTTTGTAGGAATGTCCTCTGGCCAAGATCTGGAAACCACATAGCTCTTACATAAAATGAACTGTCCATGTTGGCTTGATTAATGAGCATGTGTATAGTTGGAGCGGTATTCTTAAGTGCATATGAATAATAACAGTCTGCACTTGGCTACTTAATGATGTGTTGCCTTGTTAATTGTTTGAGCTGTCCATTCCTCTTCCTTTGTATTGCTATTGCTGTCCTCTCTGTCTCATGCTAGATCACTGCAGCAATTCTCTACCTAACCTGATTGGGAATGAAGAGCAGAATTCCAGGTAACTTTAAAGAAACACTTGACAACTTTGATTCAGCAAGTGTTTAGCAACAGTCATGTGTCAGTTCTGTATTGGGCCATGAGAAAACAAAACTGAAGAAGACATGGTCTTTTGCTCTCAATGAACTCTCAGCACCAACTTCACCTCCTACCCCACTAGCACACCCTATAGGACACTGCCACTTCCTTAAAGACAAGCTAGTTCATTCTTTTTTGGTGCCAGGAATGGAACCCTGGGGCACTCAACCATGGAGGCACATCCCCAGCCCTTTTTGTATTTTATTTAGAGACAGGGTCTCACTAAGTTGCTTAGAGCCTTGCTAAATTACTGAGGCTGGCTTTGAACTCGTGATCCTCCTGCTTCAGCCTCATGAGCTGCTGAGATTATAGGCATGCACCACCATACCCAACTAAGGCAAGCTAGTGCTTAACTCCTCGTGGTGCTCCTGTCCATAATACAATCCAAGTTCTACCTGACATACAAGACCCTGTGTCAGGCAGGGCACATTCATCTGTAGTCCCAGCTACTCAGGAGGCTGAGGCCAGAGAATCCCTTGAGCCCAGGGATTTAGGGCTGTCTGAGCCATCTTCATTTGCCTTTACCTCTACGTGTGCCTAGGCTTTTCGATCACCTCCATGCATGTGGATTTCCTTTCATTTATATAACACACATTTTTAGTCCATCAGATTCCTCTTTCAACTTCTGCAGTGCTTGTATGGAAATCATGCCTGAGGAGTGACTTGGGGGCTAACCTCACCCTGGCCTCTACAACTTGCTAGTTTTATGGGCTTGTATATGTTTACATCATACTTTGACCCTCAGTGTTCTTAGATGTGAGATGAGAATACTAATAGAACCAACCTTCCTTAATAGATTGTGGTGCAGATTAGATGACTAATACACAGAAAGCATTTGGTTCCTGGCACACAATAAAAGAACTCAAAAGATTATCTCAAATTTAGCATTTAATTTTATACCATATTGTTTGCTACTGGTTTTGTTTGTCCAGTTAGATTTCAGACTCAGTGTAGGCACTTTTAGTCTTGTTTCATTCTCACCAAAAAATACAGAGTCAGGTATTTAATAACCACTTAGATACTTAAATACCAAAAAATTTCCAAATAAGAAATATTTGACCTCCATTTAGAGTTTTCTAAATGATCAATTATAAATTCCTAAGCACATCTACCAAGTTGCTTGTAAGAATGCGAAAGAAATTATTCAAGTTTTTTTTATTGGCATTGATGATAAAATTATTAACTGATGTATAATATTTGTACTCAATGAAAATGGTGTACTACTTTCTCTAGGATTTTCTCCCTCCCCACCCTTCAATCTAGCTGTTGCTATAAATTGCACACTTCATCCCAATTACAACATGAGAAAGTTTACTGTAACTCAGCAAATGGAGAAAGTCTTTTATCTACTGTCCAATATTGGTTTCAGTGAAGAATAAAATGAGCCAACCAGCTTCACAAGACTCCTTTAAAGTTTGTTTTTTTTTTTTCTTTTTTCTTTTTTCCTGTTCTACCACTGAGATGCTTCCCTGGTCCTTTGCATTTTATTTTGAGACAGGATCTCACTAAGTTGCCTAGACTGGCCTGGAACTGGGAATCCTCCTACCTCAGCCTCCCAAGTAGCTGCAGTTACAAACGTGTGCTAGACCCACCTATTAATTGTACATATTAATGGAGCTCAGTGTGTTATTTCAAAACATGCATACATCATGCACTGATATCGTCCAGCCTTCATTGATTTCCTTCTCCCCTTCATAGTCTCTAGTAATCTCTAATCTCCATTCAGGTCAACTTCTCTTCTCCCTATCTCTTCCACATATGAGAGAGAACATGCATTTGTCCTTCTGGGTCTGGCTTATTTCAATTAATAATGAACTCTGGTCCCATCCATTTTGCTGCAAATGATATTTCTGAATAATATTCCATTGTATATGTGTGTGTATGTATACACACACAGGGTGAGGTATATATATATATATATATATATATATATATACACACACACACACACACACACACACACACACATTTAAGGATAGAAATACATAAATTAATGAAAACCCATAGATATTATATATATAATGTATATATATATATATATAATGTATATGTATATTATATATACATATATATTAATTTCCATAGGCACAACTAGATTTCACATGTAATATAAAATTAACACCTTAGGGCTGGGATTCTGGCTCAGCAGTAGAGTGGCTCGCCTAGCACATGAGAGGCCCTGGATTTGATCCTCAGCACCACATAAAAATAAAGATTTGTATCCAGGTACAACTAAAAAATAAATATTTAAAAATAAATAAAATTAACACCTTAAATAATCCACAGATAAAACTATATATACATACACTATATATACATACACACACACACACACACACACACACATATCTCGTTTTCTTTATCCATTCATCTGTTGGTGGGCACCTAGGCTGATTTCATAATTATTGTGAATAGTACAGCAATAAACATAGGTATACACTTATTTGGTATAGTAATCTTACTTCCTTTGGATATATATCCAGAAGTGGAATAGCTGGATCATATAGTGGTATATTTTTAGTTTCTTAAGGAACCTCCAACTGTTCTCCATAATTGTTACACTAATTTACATTCCCATGATACTTCTTTTTTCTCCACATCCTTGCCATCAGTACTTTTTTAATAATAGCAATTCTAACAAGTGACATTTTATTGTAATTTTGATTTGCATTTCCCTAATAACTGATATTGAGCATTTTTTTTCCATGTATTCGTTGGTTTTTTGTTTGTTGGTTGGTTGGTTGGTTCTGAGATTAAATTTGGGAGTACTCTAC